CCTCTATTCCTAGCTACATAATTATAGTCCTATACCTAAATTTACTTCTTGCCTTGTACTAGCCTAAAGTAAATCAGGCCTTTGAGTTCAGCATTCAATATTATTCCAGGTTGGACGGGGGTCGTGCGTGCAACCTTCCTGCCCCTGACAATCGCAGAAAGCTTGTCAGGCCGACTGAAACTGGCATATGGCAAGACATGTGTCACGACTAGCCGTCCAAGTCCCTTTATATTGAATAATAAAGAAGCTTCTGCATCTTGGCCGTCATGTTCTAAAGTCGAGGTACTCGGTAGGTTATTCTCTGCTTGTCGGTCAGAGTTCTTCAATAAATAAACCCTTGACAATCGCAAAAAATTTCGGGAACCAGTTGAAATGGGCAAGGGTTTTAAAATTTATAACCCGGATAACCAAGCAGTAACCATGCGAGTTCCCTCAACCAGCGGGACTCATTTGATCGAATTGGCCTGATAGAGCGAACCTTCGTGAAAACAGTTTCAGCTTGTACTTTATATTCCACGAGCTGACCCGCGCCGTAAGCATACGCCGCTAATTAGTTGTTTTATTTGCTACTTTTCAGTAATTCATAATTTGTGAATTCGACACTATCCTCTCTTCTCTCCCCCCCCCTCCTCCCCCTTATATATATAGTTATTTAACTTCCAGGACGTATTTTTTTCACATCCTCTTTTAATTTGCTGTTAGATCTAGATATACCTGCATTATCTGTTGTTGTTTTTTTGTGCTTTCTCAAGGAGCGAAGCCACCAAGCAAAATTTCGACGGCGTTAAACGGACCATGTTCTTTGAAACTTGATACGTGGGGCGGATCCAATGACAGACTTTGGTAATCTCATGATACATAGTCGGTTATTATTCCGGAATGGTACAGTAGAAAAAAAAAGTAAAACCATGGCGTATTCTACAAAGCCGTTCCGGAAGTACCGTAAGCCATATTTTATTTGGCGTCATATTTTTACTTTCTCGTATATACGAAGTATAGAGAAAGTCTTGTAATCGTGCAAAAAAAAAAATCGAGATTTTTATAAATCTCGACGTGTTACACCTCACTGATACGGAAAAACATAATTTTGCAATCTTGTCCGTATGTCTGTGTGTCTGTGTGTGTGTCTGTCTGTCTGTCTGTCCGTGTGTAAACACGATAACTTGAGTACCGTTACAGCTAGGTTGATGAAATTTCATATATAAGTATTTTATCAAAATCGTAGATCCGTATCAACTTTTGAGCGATTTCCGATAACCGGAAGTGGTACTTTTCCTACTTTGAATTTTTCAAAATCCTATAACTTGAGTACTATTTCAGATAGATGAATGAAATTTCACATGTAAGTAAAAGATCTAATTCTCTACCTTCTGTTAAATTTTGAGTAATTTCCGTTGACTGGAAGTAGTAATTTACGCTACTTCCGATTTCTCAAAAAACTAATGTAAATTTTTAAAGTACTAATAATATTGCGCACTATTATACGCGTTTTTATTTGGCGTTCACTTGGTGTGCAATAAATCTGTCTACGAGATTTTATTCTATTTTTAAAACTTTAAGTATTTAAAATGGATTAAAAATCATGTCTATAGCCCGAGTTCCCATCCCCTGTTATTTTATATAAGAATATTCGAGAAAGTTTAGGGGAGATCACTCCCGGTTTATTTAAATACATGTTTTAGTTGCATTTAACATACAATTTTGATAATTATTTTGTATTTCTATTTTTTTTTCAGTGTGTGTGCTAACTGATGCTACTAAACATTGCTCTAGTCCTTTCTACTTTATTATATCTAATCGTTTTATTTTACTAAGCCCAGTTCTAATGTCACAAATAGGATATCTCACCATCTAGCGTCGGAAATTATCCGGTAATGTTTTTTTTTAGTTTTGTAAAAATTCGTTACTATAAACCATAGTTTATTTGACAGCTGAAATATAAACATAGTCGAGTGTATAAAATTAATGTTTTAACTTCTTAATTTTAAGTTTGAATGACAGAAAATTAGCAGCAATTAATAGTTCTAGTCTAAATATTAATAATAAAGTCGAAAGTAGTAATTAATGGGTTTTTTAAATACACAGAAATAAAAATTGCAGACGCTTGCGGGTTATCTTGCGATATAGGGTCGGTTATTATTTCGGAACGGTACATCAGTAAAAAAAAAAAAAAAAAGCAGTAAAACTAATTAAAAGTAAAAGCTAATTGTTTTTATTTCTAATTTTTAAGTGCATGTGCTTACTATTGCTGCTACTAAACGCAAGTAGCCTATACGCACATTTTTCGCGTTTATTTTGCTTTTTTGTCAGGTGGTGTGGATAGGGATATTCACGAAAATTAAACTATGTAAAAAAATTTGAGCCTATGCCTTCTCAGTAGTCCGCCTAGATTTTCCTCCTCATCTTTTCCCCGTTCATCCGCGACCAGTAGCGTAGCCAGAAATTGGTCATGGGAGGGGTTCAAACATTTTTCAATATGTATACAATCCTGTCCTAACCACCCTCCCCCCTTTGCCTACGCCACTGTCCGCGTCCAAATAGAACCCGTCAACGACCACATGCATTATGAACACATGTATTCAGATCTTTATAATTTAAATAGCTATTGATTTTGGTTTATTATTCATTTATCTATAATATTTGACACAAATGTATCACAATATACTTCTATTACAGCATGAACAATGAGGCAACTTGTTCGCACATTACTAGCCTCGACCGATTTTACGCACCTAAAACGATAGATTACGGATTAACGATTAATACGCCGATTTCAAATTCATGAAATAGATTATTTTCAATAAAAGAGACGTTTTTTTGTAATCGTCAAATAGTTAAAATCGACAAGTTTCTTAACGGAGAAAAACTTATGATTGTTTTTACCAAACTTGATTGGTCAAAAAAAAAATCTTTTTTATTTGTCTCGAAAAGACGAGTATTTCCTTAGTGAAGCGTTCACCGCCCAAATCTTCTATCCACCGGCCATAAAAACGAGTATATCGCTCAAAAAACGTTTTTTATGAAAAAAAAAATTATACTTTACATGTTTTTATTTACAATAGAATTTCATGACTAAAAACCATTGCGCGCCTATTGAACGTGATGACGTGCTATTGAACGTGATGACGGTGTGGTGTGGTTGGATAGAACTGCCTACTAATTTGGTCAAAATTTTAATTAATTCATAAAAAAATTAATTAGGCATCCAATTAAGTCAAATTTAATGGCACAATGTCAGTTAGAACTGTCCGAATTTTCGCTCGAGCGTTTCGATCTAGACTGGCGACTGACTGACGAGGAAGTGAGTTAAATAAAAGCTTGTAAAAAGAAGAAAATAAATTATAGACTACTATTTAAATAACTATAAAGAAAAGCGTTGGTCTCTTCCTAAACATTAGTGAAGGTATCCGATAGATTATAGATACTAAAGTGACCCAAGCTTTTCTTTATAGTTATTTAAATAGTAGTCTATAATTTATTTTCTATTTTTTAGTGCACTATTACATAAACGCTTGTTATTAAAAGTTTTTTTATGAAATTTTTTAACTGTTTCATTAGCGGCTTTAACTGCCTATATTACTGTTACAATGCCTTTCTTAAAGGGGAAAAACCAAATAAATACAATCGCAGGACACTTTTGTTTGTTTTTCGTAGTCCTTATTGATTTCTTGCGTATATAGAAACATTGTATTTCTTGATCACTACGGTTGCCACCCAAACCCGCCCCCTCTAAAAATGATAAACTATTTTGCAACAAATGCAAAGGGAAGTCATCAAATCAAATACCGATGAAAACCGAGGCGCCAGATTTAAATCCCTTAATGTATATTTCTTCCACATTGTATTCATTATTTTTCAAATGATCATTTTGCTTTTGCACACACAAACATACACACACGCACACACGCACAAAGTGAGCAAGCTAAATAAAATCCTTTAAAAATAACTTTGCAGGTAGCCGATCTCCATATATTTATTCACGTGATGAGGGCAGTTATTAGAAATATTCTTTGCGTCTAGTAAACGCATTGCAGGCAATAATTTAATATTTAAATAAATAAATATACTATATGGTAACCTAGAACACCGCTAAATGCTATGCTCATTTAACGACTAACTAAAACTAAAGCTTCCTAACGTATTCTTGCCTACCAACCAACTGTTCATTCGTCTTGTTATTGTGACATTATGTTTGCTGAGCGATACTGGATAACACAGTATGTAACAATAACAATCCATTTGGCAAATACTATTACCCATTATTTATGTATCCTAAATTATTACTAACTTCCAAAATTCTAACATTGTTGTCTCTGTTGAAATCGACCTCTAATGTGGTCAAACTACATTTGAAATATCAAGATAAACTAGTCACTATGCCGACAGACAAAATACAATTATTGCGCTCCACGCCAATGTATGACTATAATTCTACACCATCATACTCATTATCATTTAAAAAAAAACACCTATTACACAACCACATGTGTCTGATTCTTGATTTGATGTTGTTATTAATAAAATATACCTTAGTACAGTTATCTCCCATTTTTTAGATTCTGGATATAGAGGTAATGAATTTATGCAAAAGGACATTACCAGCCCGTCAATTACCCTCCGAACACCCCCCCCCCTTCCGTATTTACCTCCCGGGAAAATTACCCCCGGTCAACTATTCCCCCACCCCCCCACCCCCCTCAAGTTATAATCCTAACTCTAACTTAAATTACCTTAATCCTAACCTAAAACTTAAGCATTCGCCTCAGCCTAAAACTTAACACAAAACAAAAACCAGCTTTAAGATATTTTTTTTTAAAATGTTTCGATATACATTTTTGGAATTTTTCGAGATCAAAATATAACCAATAATTGTTTAGTAAAATTATTTTTAATGTTAATTGATTTCTCAGGGGTTTGTAGCTTGCAATTAATTTCTAATATATTATTGAGTAGTTTCCCCTGCTGACCTTTAACCTTCAAACTGAAACAGGCACTAAGAATCTAAATATAGATCGTTTTTCCACGAACCGGGGAGACTGTGTGCTAGCTACAATATTGATCATGTAAAATTTGTTTCTAATTTACCTGGATCCAACTCATGTTGACGTCGAGTGTTACCTTTAAAAGATGCAGAATCCTAAGATTGAATCTCAGGTAAGTACTGACCTACTTACATCCGTGTGTGTTGTCTCAATAACTGATTGGTTGTTGCTGTGTTAAATTAGTACAGCGGTACTGGCGGTAGTTGGCAGTGTGTCGCCAACTCCTGTGTCACACGCCTACATTACACAACCGAGCGAGATTGACTGTGTAGGCTTTTGTTTTCAATGTGTCAACACGCTTAGTATACACGCAGACAGGCAAAATATACCCACAGGATAAATACACAGCTAAACAACAGGCTAAATAATAAATATACACGAATAACTAAATTCTAAACGTAAACACTGACTGATAGGCTAAATATATACACACAATGACAGGCTAAACCTACAGGTTAACTGAAGAAATGGTTAGAATTCTATGGACCATTAACATTTAGAATAATCTCCCCTAATTGCTGGATGAGTTTGGTTCAACTCAGTAATTGGCATTGTTTTTCTAGCAAGTTCTTTGGATTGTTGCGATACATCGTGGTGGATGATGTTTGACTTGTCATGACATATCGGTCAGTCGTGACACATCTGTCAGTGGTGACATAGTTGTCAGTGGTGACATTAATCAAATGAGACCTTTGTCACTGATGATACTTTAGTAGTTAGGAATAAATACCTTAACTGACACTGGATAATTAGTGATATCGGCGGGATGGGGGTTAATAAAAATTTGAATCCCAAAGAATTCTAGTTAGAAGAACAAGGTAGTCGGAAAATATTTGACAAACACAGTCTTCAACAACACATTCTTCGTGCTAGCACACTTGTCATCGCATAGTTGACTTGTTACACACTTACTCATTGCAACACACAGCTCAACATGACACGGCGATCCTCAACACACCGGTCAGATATGTTGTAACAGTGTTCATCTCTTACCATCAATTGAACACACCCGTCATAGAAACACTGAGATAAAATTAGATGGTTGCTATGAAAGGGACGTAACACAATATTGTGACACTGTGTTATAAATGTGACACAGCACATAATTGTTGTATGAACGTAACACATTATTGTGACACTGTGCCATGAATGTGACAAAACATTATTGTGACACGGTGTTATGAATGTGACAGCACATTAATGTGACACTTTGCCGCAAATGTGACAGCACATTATTGTGACACTGTGTCATGAATGTGACAACACATTAATGTGACACTGTGCCATGAATATGACAGCACATTATTGTGACACTGTGCCATGAATGTGACAGCACATTATTATACGTAAGTACTTGGACACGCCGTGCGTTTATTGGGGTCCCACACTAGTCGAGTTTATGGCCTTCAATAGTTGGCCACCCGAACCTTGGCCCTATAATCAGAGATTGATTGTGCTGTCGTATGTGGCTGTGCTTGCAGAAAATCGAAAGGCAGAAAACAGACTTCCAAGGCAGACATTGATATATGAATGCAGAAAACAATCTTAATTAGAAACTGTGTTAGACTAATTACTTTGTAGGCAGAACAACATTTTACCATAAACCCCCTTAACTATAACCCGTACAACTATGATCCTTTTAATTATGACCCGTTTAACTAACACGTTTAGCCATGATCCGTTTATCTATGACCCGTTTCTTTATGACCCGTTTAACAAAGACCCGTTAAACTATGACCTTTTTAATTACGATCCGTTTATCTATGACCCGTTTCTCTATGACCCTTTTAATTACGATCCGTTTAGCTATAACCCGTTTAATTATGACCCGTTTAACTGACACGTTTAGCCATGATCCGTTTATCTATGACCCGTTTCTTTATGACCCGTTTAACAAAGACCCGTTAAACTATGACCTTTTTAATTACGATCCGTTTATCTATGACCCGTTTCTCTATGACCCTTTTAATTACGATCCGTTTAGCTATAACCCGTTTAATTATGACCCGTTTAACTGACACGTTTAGCCATGATCCGCCTAGCAATGACCCTTTTCTCTATGACCTGTAGCGTTTGACTGATTGCTTGAGACCACGATGACTTTTATTTCTGAAGTGTTTTTGAAGTAATTTCTATTGTAGCATCAGATCATTTTTGTTTCTTTAACATATGTATTGACACAAATTATACATATATACGCAGACAGTCAACATATACTCAGACAGACAACATATACTCAGACAGACAACATATACTCGGACAGGCAACATATACTCAGACGGACAACATATACTCAGACAGACAATATATAATCAGACAGACAACATATACTCAGACAGACAACATATACTCAGACAGACAATATATAATCAGACAGACAACATATACTAGGACAGACAACATATACTCGGACAGACATCTTTGTCTGACACAGTATAACACTAACAGATACACATGAACCGACAGACAGCTTACACAGACACATTATAAGTGGACACATTACACAGAATATTGACAACATACGGCAGTTTAGCAGATTCCGTACCGCTATATTAACACAAACTACCTACAGTGGACCATTCCCAAACTACCTGGCCATTCCCAAACTACCTGGCCATTCCCAAACTACCTGGCCATACACAAACTACCTGCAGTGGCCCATACACAAACTACCTACAGTGGACCATACACAAACTACCTGCAGTGGCCCATACACAAACTACCTGCAGTGGCCCATAAACAAACTACCTGGCCATTCACAAACTACCTGCAGTGGGCCATACACAAACTACCTGCAGTGAGCCATACACAAACTACCTGCAGTTAGCCATACACAAACTACCTGCAGTGGCCCATACACAAACTACCTGGCCATACACAAACTACCTGCAGTGAGCCATACACAAACTACCTGCAGTGAGCCATACACAAACTACCTGCAGTGGCCCATTCACAAACTACCTGCAGTGGGCCATACACAAACTACCTGCTGTGGCCCATACACAAACTACCTGCAGTGGCCCATTCACAAACTACCTGCAGTGGCCCATACACAAACTACCTGCAGTGGCCCATTCACAAACTACCTGCAGTGGGCCATACACAAACTACCTGCTGTGGCCCATACACAATTTACCTGCAGTGGCCCATTCACAAACTACCTGCAGTGGCCCATACACAAACTACCTGCAGTGGCCCATTCACAAACTACCTGCAGTGGCCCATACACAAACTACCTGCAGTGGCCCATACACAAACTACCTGCAGTGGCCCATACACAAACTACCTGCAGTGGCCCATACACAAACTACATGCAGTGGGCCATTCACAAACTACCTGCAGTGAGCCATACACAAACTACCTGCAGTGAGCCATACACAAACTACCTGCAGTGGGCCATTCACAAACTACCTGCAGTGGCCAATACACAAACTACCTGCAGTGAGCCATACACAAACTACCTGCAGTGGCCCATACACAAACTACCAGCAGTGGGCCATACACAAACTACCTGCAGTGGCCCATACACAAACTACCTGCAGTGGCCCATACACAAACTACCTACAGTGGCCCATACACAAACTACCTTCAGTGGCCCATACACAAACTACCTGGCCATACACAAACTACCTGCAGTGGCCCATACACAAACTACCTGCAGTGGCCCATTGTGATGACGCAAGATTACGTCAGACATGTTTAGCAGATATAGGTTAGCAGAAACAGACGATAGGCCTAGTTGGTTGGGTAGAGAGGCCAATGGGCGCACAGGGCTGACCGGTCACGTGGGACGGTCAGCTGACCACTGAGGCGTGGGCAGGAGAGCGATAGGCGAGGACGGTGTTAGGTAGCGGTCAGAGACGGCCGAGAATGTAGATAGTTAGGAGATCATGATTAGATAGCGAAGAGTAGAGAAGGTGTTAGGTTGTAGAATGTAGATAGTGTTAGGATTGGTCGTGGGAGTTAGTAGTATAGTGAACAGTCAGTAGTAGAAGTAAATAGTACAGTGTAGATCAGTTAGGTAGAAACTTGAGCATATATATCATTTTAATAAAGAACAATTATAGTTGAACTTGAACTGCGTGTTGTTGGATTCATTCGTTACATCTCTTCTAAAAATCCCCACCCTCACAATTGGTGGAGCGCGGGTCGAGTGAGGGAAAGAACGTATATCAGCTATTCATGACGGAGTACGACTGGTGTACGGCTTTCTTCAACTCAACACAACAGCGGGTTTCTTCAACCGGAACGAGTTTGGATTAACAACACAAGGAAACAGTCAACATGTCCAAAAAGATAAGTACCTTCCAAAAATTTTTTAAACGTTTGGGTTTAGACTTGTGCTGGATATTTGGTGCCAGCGGTTTTTCTGCCTCTTTCTTATCTGTTTCTTCAACCACACTACCCTTAAAAATGCCTCCATTGTACGAAGTGGGCACTAAAACTGAGCTTAAGTCAGGCCTAGAAGAGTCGGGTAGAATTGATAACTCGTTACTAGATATAAATGTTCAGAATACAGTCAAAGTGAAAAGCAATTCAAGAACTATTGAGGATCCAGATATTCTGGATGAATTGATTATTAGGCTTGGACAATACACGACAACAGAAAATCGAGACTGGTTATTAACTGTTAAAGAATTTGACGTAAAAACTCTAGATGATCCAGATGCTATGGAAGATTTGATCAATAGAATTGTAGATTACAAGGTATTCGGAGATCCAGATTCCTTGTTGACTGAAGAAGAATATGATGCAAAGATAGATGCCGAGTTAGCAGAGAAACAAAGAGAAGCAGAAACATATATTGCCGGACTTAAAGAAGAAACAGAAAGAATTCGTAAAGAAAGAGAAAAATTGAGAGAACTTTGCCAAGCCAAACAAGAAACGGTGCAAAGTTTAGATACGAATAATAACAACCAGACAGCCGAAACAACATTTTACTATTCCTACGATTCAGATTCAGATGACACGTTCAGTGAAGCAAGCGAAATACCTACAACAAAAAGTGAAACACAACATACACTCCAAAAACATAATACGGCAAATCACAACATTCAGATTAACTACAGTCAACAAAAACACAATTACAGTGTCAGATGCTACTATTGTAATAGAACAGGCCACAAACAAATAAATTGCAGAATACGATATTATGATATACGCCAACAAGATACACAACGCAACAGACCAAAATATAGACAGATTAATAGAATAGCATTTATGTCATCGTTTACAGAAGCCAGTAAAAGAACAGACACATTTACGTCAAAAATTAATAACAGATACGCCACAGCAATTAGGGATACACTATGCTCCACAGTGGCAGTACGTAACACATTCGTACAACATCACCAATACACAGGCAGAACACAACTTGTCCACAGCTCAAGAGGCAGCACATATGTTTGGCCAACAGCCATAGTCACCATAGCCACACCCTCAGCGTGTAAAACAGTTGAAGCAGCTGTTTTCAAAAACGGGCCATACGATATGATATTAGGCAACATTACAGGAGTGAAGCAATTTAATGTAGAATTTATGAGCCACAAGCAACAAGTAAACAAGCAGCCCAGTTTTCGAGACAACGAAAAAGTAGACACAAAAGTAGACGAGGTGCAATTCAAAACGGAAAAGTTGATAGAAAAAGTTAACGAGGTTATTGAGGATCATTCTATAAAGACTACCGAGATTGGTGCAGCTGTTCTTAACTTAAGACTGCAGAACGACACAGTCAGTAATAGATTGTTGAGACTAGAGAAATCAGTAAACAAGGAATCAGAGGAATATGTAACAAGGAATTTGATAGCAGACAGAGAACACGGTTACTCCTGGTCAGCCTTAAACCAGATGACCCCATCAACACACCTACACAAACACAAGTATAGTAATCGCAGACCATGTGAAAGCTTGCGACACAATTGTCCACACCGAGCCCCGCCTATCGGTCCTAGTGTGGTATATTAAGGCCTGGATAGAATTTGACCCGGAACGCCCCCACGAATGTTTTTGAACAACGGACTAAAGTCAAGTCGAGTTTTTTTTTTCTGTTAATCTAAGTCGCCGAGAAATCGGCGTGAAGTCAAAGAAGTTATTTGAAGTCAGTCAAGTCAATGTTGTTAAAGTCGTTGAGGTCATAGTGACGTTGTTGAAGTCATGTTGCAGTCAAAGAAAAGTCTTTGAAGTCATATTGAAGTTGTTGAAGTCAAAGTGAAGTATTTGAAGTCATATTGAAGTCGTTGAAGTCAAGGAAAAGTCATTGAAATCAAAGTGAAGACGTTTAAGTCGTCGAAGTTTAAGTCAGTCAGTGAAGCCTTTTAAGTTGAATTGAAGTCAGTCAGTGAAATCTGTCGTCTAGGTCAAGTTAGTCGGCAAATGGAATCGTCGAAGTAAAGTTAATCGTGAATGGGAAATAAGTCGTAAATTGAAGTCAGTGAAGTTACTGAAGTCAGTTAAAGTGAAATAAGTCAAGTTACTGAAGTCAAAAGTGAAGTCAGTCATTAAGTCAAGCCAGCCAGTTTTTGTCAGAAGTCAGATAGTGAGAGCTGCTCCACTATATGATTACGTGTTCAAATGTTATTTGAAACGGCACGATTATTATATACACTCACATGTCTATTCTTTTGTGAAGCTATTTCTAAGCTCTAGTAGTGTTTACGTCTATTGAGTTTATTAGGCTTTACAGATTGTTGTTAGATTAGAGTGTACTGATTTTTTTTATTTGGTTATATGTTGTAATGTTATTTTTTTATGGGTTTTATGCCGCCAGACAAATGTTCAGCACGTTTAAATTTGGGATTGAGGTTTTTTTTAAATGGAAGGTACCTCTGTCTGAATACTTGTCTGCGCGGGCACTAAATTGGTCACGTAAAACCATTGCTCATGGTCTCGTAATACAATTTTCAGACCCACTACGTTCATTCAGAATGAGACGAGATGAAGCAGACACTTCAAAGAATGCCGCCACCTGAAGCCCTGATTACGTTGAATTACCTGGACAGCGAACAGCCCTGCCGAACGGAGAATTGCCAATGCCATGGTCAAGATAGCGGACGCATCGCCACCGCTTCGCCCCCGCACTGGAGTTGAACAGACCGCCAGCTACGTACACCTACGTCGGCACATACAAAGGGTAGAAGACCCATCGTCCAAGTTCCCAGCGTCGGAATGTTACGTCATTGTTCACCAGCGCATCAGACAGCTCCAGTTCATCGTATAACCACTCTACGTGGACGTCTCAACCAGCGTTGAGTTTGTTGCGTCATCACATTGACCAACGAAAGTTACGCCTACACCCGCCTCACGGGAACTTACGTAGACCAACGCCACAACCCACCCACCACAGATGAACGCCAATAATTACATAACACTTACACACACACACACTTACACTGCTCGCAGAGCCCGTTCAACCAGTTACACATTACCACTACATTCACTCAAGGCCAGTACACGACAACCTAGCCAGAACTGAGTTGCACATGATTGGATTCACACATACCATGAAACATAGACATACATTATCAAGCAGAGACACCACAGACGTCAGGATACTTGCACGAGAACTAGAACAATGACATTTTTTTTTCAGGAACACAGACACAAGATTTATGTTTTTGTAAACTGTGCTGTCCCATTTTGTATTTGATTTATATGATTGATGTTAGGGATAGAATAGAGTAGTAAGATAGATAGTTGTTGATGTATTAGATTAGTAGCAGACGCTGAAAAATATAATTTGTCAGCTACAGAAAGGGAGGGAGATATGTGATGACGCAAGATTACGTCAGACATGTTTAGCAGATATAGGTTAGCAGAAACAGACGATAGGCCTAGTTGGTTGGGTAGAGAGGCCAATGGGCGCACAGGGCTGACCGGTCACGTGGGACGGTCAGCTGACCACTGAGGCGTGGGCAGGAGAGCGATAGGCGAGGACGGTGTTAGGTAGCGGTCAGAGACGGCCGAGAATGTAGATAGTTAGGAGATCATGATTAGATAGCGAAGAGTAGAGAAGGTGTTAGGTTGTAGAATGTAGATAGTGTTAGGATTGGTCGTGGGAGTTAGTAGTATAGTGAACAGTCAGTAGTAGAAGTAAATAGTACAGTGTAGATCAGTTAGGTAGAAACTTGAGCATATATATCATTTTAATAAAGAACAATTATAGTTGAACTTGAACTGCGTGTTGTTGGATTCATTCGTTACCGCCTTCGTAAAAATCCCCACCCTCACACCCATACACAAACTACCTTCAGTGGTCCATACACAAACTACCTGGCCATACACAAACTACCTGCAGTGGGCCATACACAAACTACCTGCAGTGGCCCATACACAAACTACCTGCAGTGGGCCATACACAAACTACCTGCAGTGGACCATTCACAAACTACCTGCAGTGGCCCATTCACAAACTACCTGCAGTGGGCCATTCACGAACTACCTGCAGTGGGCCATTCACAAACAACCTGCAGTGGCCCATTTACAAACTACCTACAGTGGGCCATTCAAACGCCTGAGTTAAATCTATGAAATCCACTCAAATCAATTGATTAAATTCGACGTACATACAGTTGATTAGGTCTGTAAAAAAAAAGATTTAAAAAAAAACCTTTGAAAAAAATCCTTGTGACAAGGCTCGATAGCTGGGGACAGCCACTCTTCTAGGAGAGACAATTCCAAAATCAAACAACTGCTGCCTTGTGGTTTGTTCTTGGTTGGACAAAGGATATGGAAGCAAATCCAAAAAGAAAAGCAGGCTGTAATCGGAGTCAACGGCCCAAATGGCGCATAACCAGTTGACACGTATCCTTAATTCTGTTGAGAGGAATCCCTTCCAACACTAGAATTAAGAACGAAGAATAAGAAGAAGTTAAAACAACTAATACGAAGTCAATGTTACTGATATGAACTTTAAAAAAGTCGATTCGATTTTATTTTTTTTTATTTTCATTAGCTAAAATATCAATTATAATTAGATCTTTTAAAACCGTATATCAAACTTATGTTCAAAACCTTTTATATCAAGTCAATTTGATATTCAAAACCATTTATAAAAGTAGATTTGATCTCTAAAACAACTTATAAAAATATTTAAAAGCGGGGGTTATCTCCGCTAAACTTTCTTGTATATTCTACTATAAGAGTAAAGGGAAGGGTACTTCCAGTGCTATTGGGCTATGGGACTGTTGATTATTATTTTAATTCTTAAATTTTTAAATTAATTAGAATTGCTTAGAAAAAAAGAACTGCGCACCAAACGAAGGCAAACAATCTGTGTACAATAAAGCGGTAATTTAGTACTTTATGAATAAAATCTTGATACATTTTTTAAAGTCACATTTTGTGTCACAATGCATTGTCATCGAGTCTTAACCTATGTTGAAAGTTTGAAAGCAATCGGTCAGGCACAAGTGGTCGAAATATTTTGCTCACTTGTTTACACCATAAATCATGTTATGAAAGGCTTTTTTATCCCTAAATCATCGTATGAAATGTTATTTTATCCCTAAATCATCGTATGAAATGTTATTTTATCCCAAAATCATCATATGAAAGGTTATTTTATCCCTAAATCATCTAATGAAATGTTATTTTATCCCTAAATCATCTAATGAAATGTTATTTAATCCCTAAATCACCGTATGAAAGGTTATTTTATCCCTAAATCATCCTAATAATCCTATGAAAGGTTATTTTATCCCTACAATAACTTTTGAACACTCTTTTATTCCAGGCCCGACGTCTGAGGGAGGTACTTCGTGGGAAGATAACTCAGCAGGAAACAGCTTGCAGACTTATCCAGGACTACGGCAGTGAGAGCGGAGCTTTGGATTTCATTTTAAACGGTGCGTTCTGGTGCGCTGTGGTGCGTTATTTAAACGGTGCGCTGTGGTGCGTAATTTCAACGGTGTGCTATGGTGCGTAATTCAAATGGTGCGCTGTGGTGCGTAAATTAAACGGTGCGCTGTTGTATGTAATTATTGTGTGATAATAGTGTGATTGTATAAGTACAGTGTTGTGGTGTAATAATTGTGTAAGTATTGTATGTTCCAAACTTGCTTAATGGTGGTTTGTAATGTTGCTAAGTTTCTAGTGGTGTCATATGGTGTTTCTAAAATGACTAAAATTAGATGCGTTAGTTATGTATGTTAATTTAATTAGATTTAATTAGATTTATAAGTCTAACTTATAATGTTACCCTTGTGACATTTGTAACCCAATGACATATTATGACATGTCCTACCTTAATGACATGTACTACTATTATGACACGTGTTAACCTTATGAGATTTGTTACCCTAATGACATGTCCTACCCTAATGACATGTCCTACCCGAATGACATGTCCTACCCGAATGACATGTGTTACCCTAATGTCATGTCCTACCCTAATGACATGTGTTACCCTAATGACATGTCCTACCCTAATGACATGTGTTACCCTAATGTCATGTCCTACCCTAATGACATGTGTTACCCTAATGACATGTGTTACCCTAATGTCATGTCCTACCCTAATGACATGTGTTACCCTAATGATATGACGTACCCTAATGACATGTGTTACTGTTACCCTAATATCATGTCCTACCCTAATGACATGTGTTACCCTAATGTCATGTCCTACCATAATGACACGTGTTACTCTAATGGCATGTCCTACCCTAATGACATATGTTACCCTAATGTCATGTCCTACCCTAATGACATGTTTTACCCTAATGTCATTTTCTGCCCTAATGACATGTGTTACCCTAATGACATGTCCTACCCTAATGACATGTGTTACCCTAATGTCATGTCCTACCCTAATGACATGTGTTACCCTAATGACATGTGTTACCCTAATGTCATGTCCTACCCTAATGACATGTGTTACCCTAATGACATGTCCTACCCTAATGTCATGTCCTACCCTAATGACATGTGTTACTCTGCAGGTGACGAAGATGCTGTCAGAGACTATCTGAACAAGGTAAAAATTCTTCCGACAATCTTACCATATTTCTTACCTTATTTCTTACTTTATTTCTATCTTTCTTTTTTTAAAACTCAAATCGTAGGTAAGTTCCATGTACAGTCGCTTATTAGTCTTGAGTTGTATGCACTAGTCTGGGGGGAGGTGAGGGCGGGAGGGGGGGGTCTTGTATAGGTTCATCTGCTCATTTTTAAACAGCTTTACTAATGTTTCTATTACACTAGTTGTGTAATTTTGTATTTATCGTTGATGACAAAACAATTTTAAAAAACAATTTGCTGCTTGCTTTTTTTAAGAACATTTTTTTAAAAGTATTTTTTCATTTTGGGTAATGACTTTCAAGTAACTGGCCTATATGCCATGGTATGGCTGTAGCTTAAATATGAGTTAATCGACAGACCAACCTAAATAAACCAAGTTAGTTTACATAGCTACAGGTGGCATTACAATATGTTACATGTGTGTAAAAATAGGTAGAAGGTGAGTTGAACAAAGCTCCATTGTGAGTAAAATCATTTGTGTTAAACCAATGCTACAGGTGTGTTAAACCAATGCTACATGTGTTAAACCAATGCTACAGCTGTGTTAAACCAATGCTACAGGTGTGTTAAACCAATGCTACAGGTGTGTTAAACCAGTGCTACAGCTGTGTTAAACCAATGCTACTGGTGTGTTAAACCAATGCTACAGGTGTGTTAAACCAATGCTACAGGTGTGTTAAACCAATGCTACAGGTGTGTTAAACCAATGCTACTGGTGTGTTAAACCAATGCTACTGGTGTGTTAAACCAATGCTACTGGTGTGTTAAACCAATGCTACAGGTGTGTTAAACCAATGCTACAGGTGTGTTAAACCAATGCTACGGGTGTGTTAAACCAATGCTACAGGTGTGTTAAACCAATGCTACAGGTGTTAAACCAATGCTACAGGTGTGTTAAACCAGTGCTACAGGTGTGTTAAACCAATGCTACAGGTGTGTTAAACCAATGCTACAGGTGTTAAACCAATGCTACACATGTTAAACCAATGCTACACATGTTAAACCAAGGCTACACATGTTAAACCAATGCTACACATGTTAAACCAATGACACATGTGTGTTAAACCAATGCTAGAGGTGTGTTAAACCAATGCTACAGGTGTGTTAAACCAATGCTACAGGTGTTAAACCAATGTTACAGGTGTGTTAAACCAATGCTACAGGTGTTAAACCAATGCTACAGGTGTTAAACCAATGCTACAGGTGTGTTTTTCCCACAGGATCCCGACTACATCCGTGAGTTGAGGCGAGACGGCCAGCGAGTGGCCAGTCTGCTAGAGAACGGCCTTGATGCCACGGTCCGGCAGTTCGCGTGTAGGGCCTGCAACAAGTCTTGGTGGAAGAAGGTGCCGGCTCGTAAGGAGGTGAGTAAATAGGGGGGGGGGGGGCAAACATGCGGGGGGGGGGGCAAACATGGGGGGCGGGCAAACATCGGGGGGTGGGGACATGGGGGGGGGAAACAAGGTGCCGGCTCGTAAGGAGGTGAGAAAACATGTGGGGGACATGGGGGGGGGGGGGGGGGGGGGAACATGAGGGTGGAGCAAATATGGGGGGGGGGGGCTGCAACAAATCCTGGTGGAAGAAGGCAAACATGGGGGGGGGCAAAAAGGGGGGGGGGAGGAACATAGGGGGGGCAAACTTGGGGCATGGGGGGCAAACATCGGTGTTGAACATGGGGGGAGGGGGGGGGCAAACAGGAGGGTGAACATGGGGGGAGGCGGGGAACATGGGGGGAGGGCGCAAACATGGGGGGGGACAATCATTATAGGGGGGTGGGGTTGGGGAGCTAACATGGTCGGCTTATGGGTGTTGGGGGGCGAACATGGTCGGGGGGGGGGGGGCAAACAGGAGGGTGAACATGGGGGGAGGGGGGCGAACATGAGGCAGGGAACATGGGGGGAGGGCGCAAACATGGGGGGGGGGGCAATCATTATAGGGGGGTGTGGTTGGGGAGCTAACATGGTCGACTTATGGGAGTTGGGGGCGAACATGATCGATATCTTGGGGGGGGGGGGGGGGGCGAATGATGTTTCCTTACCTCACGCCAACTTCCGGTATCCCCAGGTGTCCAAGTGCAACAGGTGTAAGGTCAAGTACGACCCCATCCCCCGGGACAAGGAGTTCGGCATCGGGAAGTTCTTGTGTGAGTGTGGGAATGAATTCACGTAAGTTTTTTTTTAAAATCTCTGTATATTGGGGGAATATGGCGGCTAGCTGTTGTAGGAGATACGCTGTTCGCAGTAAAGTCATACACTCTACTCTACCTGTCCCTTCCCCTCTATGATAACTTTTAAAGTCTCTCCCCTCTATGATAATCATTTAACTCTCCACCTATGATAACTTTCACCATCCAGAGGATTTGGCGAGATGAATGTTACGTCCAGTAAATGTTACAAATGCGGGCAGATGGTGCCCGTGGACCACATGCTGCCCCCTAGGAAGGACAGACCCCGCAAGACCAGGCTGCCCCATTCCTGTAATGGCGTCAACTGTCCAGGGTAGGTTCACAAGGGGCATGTCAACATGGAAACATGTCAACATGCACCAGAGAAGTTATAGACGAGTCCGTTTATTTATCGACGGGTCTGTGTTGACGTTATAGAAGTGTCAGTCTATTTATAGACGTGTCAGTGTTGTTATAGACGTATCCGTGTTGTTATAAACGTGCCAGTGTTGCTATAGACGTATCCGTGTTGTTATAAACGTATCATTTGTATTATAGGCGTGTCCGTGTTGTTCTTATAGACGTGTCAGTGTTGTTGTTATAGACGTATCCGTGTTGTTATAGACGTGTCCGTGTTGTTATAGACGTGTCCGTGTTGTTATAGACGTATCCGTGTTGTTATAGACGTGTCAGTGTTGTTATAGACGTATCCGTGTTGTTATAAACGTATCATTTTTATTATAGGCGTGTCCGTGTTGTTCTTATAGACGTGTCAGTGTTGTTGTTATAGACGTATCCGTGTTGTTATAGACGTATCCGTATTGTTATAGACGTGTCAGTGTTGTTATAGACGTATCCGTGTTGTTATAGACGTGTCAGTATTTGAAAAACCTGAAGTAGATTAGAGTAGCACTTACAATTTCTGGACAACGCTCCAAAGATTTTAGTAACCTACGTGTTTATGACATTTTGGTTATCGTGCACACACACACACACACACACACAGACAGAGTTAACACACACACTCATAAATTACATAGGCTACACACATGAGGACAAAAAAGGGAATGCTGGGTTTTCCCGATTGAGGAAGTTTTATAGTGTCGAGCTTTGTCAATTCGGATTTTCTTGCATGTTTACAATATTTTCACCAATTCTCTTTTGACATAAAGTAAAAATGAATGAAAAATTACGCAAAGTACTAGTTAATATCAAAATAAAAATAATACAAACTCTTAAATATTCTAAAAGGCACTTAAAATAGGGCTATTTCCAAAAAAAACCTAGAACACAATGGATTAAAACTCCAAAATTCACGACAAACTTACCCCCATCTTTCACTTTAATTTGACATGAGCACACAACAAACACCTAAACACAGGGCCAACAACAAACACCTAAACACATGGCCAACAACAAACACCTAAACACAGTATCAACAACAAACACCTAAACACATGGCCAACAACAAACACCTAAACACAGTATCAACAACAAACACCTAAACACAGGGCCAACAACAAACACCTAAACACAGGGCCAACAACAAACACCTAAACACAGGGCCAACAACAAACACCTAAACACAGTATCAACAACAAACACCTAAACACAGGGCCAACAACAAACACCTAAACACAGGGCCAACAACAAACACCTAAACACATGGCCAACAACAAACACCTAAACACAGTATCAACAACAAACACCTAAACACAGGGCCAACAAGAAACACCTAAACACAGGGCCAACAACAAACACCTAAACACAGGGCCAACAACAAACACCTAAACACATGGCCAACAACAAACACCTAAACACAGTATCAACAACAAACACCTAAACACAGGGCCAACAAGAAACACCTAAACACAGGGCCAACAACAAACACCTAAACACAGGGCCAACAACAAACACCTAAACACAGGGCCAACAACAGGGCCAACAACAAACACCTAAACACAGGGCCAACAACAAACACATAAACACAGGGCCAACAACAGGGCCAACAACAAACACCTAAACACAGGGCCAACAACAAACACCTAAATACAGGGCCAACAACAAACACCTAAACACAGGGCCAACAACAGGGCCAACAACAAACACCTAAACACAGGGCCAACAACAGGGCCAACAACAAACACCTAAACACAGGGCCAAAAACAGGGCCAACAACAAACACCTAAACACAGGACCAACAACAAACACCTAAACACAGGGCCAACAACAGGGCCAACCACAAACACATAAACACAGCACCAACAACAAACACCTAAACACAGGACCAACAACAAACACCTACACACAGGGCCAACAACAAACACCTAAACACAGGGCCAACAACAAACACCTAAACACAGGGCCAACAACAAACACCTAAACACAGGGCCAACAACAAACACCTAAACACACCAATATGTAAACCACATAACTTTTTACTTTCTCGTATATACGAAGTATAGAGAAAGTCTTGTAATCGTGCAAAAAAAAAAAATCGAGATTTTTGCAAATCTCGACGTTTTACATCTCACTGATACGGAAAAACATAATTTTGCAATCTTGTCCGTATGTCTGTGTGTCTGTGTGTGTGTCTGTGTGTGTGTGTGTCCGTGTGTAAACACGATAACTTGAGTACCGTTACAGCTAGATTGATGAAATTTCATATACAAGTATTTTATCAAAATCGTAGATCCGTATCAACTTTTGAGCGATTTCGGATAACCGGAAGTGGTACTTTTTCTACTTTGAATTTTTCAAAAGCCTATAACTTGAGTACTATTTCAGATAGATAAATGAAATTTCACATGTAAGTAAAAGATCTAATTCTCTACCTTCTGTTAAATTTTGAGTAATTTCCGTTGACTGGAAGTAGTAATTTACGCTACTTCCGATTTCTCAAAAAACTAATGTAAATTTTTAAAGTACTAATAATATTGCGCACTATTATACGCGTTTTTATTCGGCGTTTGCTTGGTGCGCAATGTTTTTTTTTATGAGATTCTATTCTATTTTTAAAAGTTTAAGTATTTAAAATGGATTAAAAATCATAACTATATCCCCAGTTACCATCCCCTGTTGTTTTATATAAGAATATTCGAGAAAGTTTAGGGGAGATCACTACCGGTTTATTTAGCATACTGTTCTATATCATTACTTTCTCGTATATACGTAGTATAGAGAAAGTATTGTAATCGTGCAAAAAAAAAATCGAGATTTTTACAAATCTCGACGTTTTACACCTCACTGATACGGAAAAACATAATTTTGCAATCTTGTCCGTATGTCTGTGTGTGTGTGTGTGTCTGTCTGTGTGTGTGTCTGTCCGTGTGTAAACACGATAACTTGAGTACCGTTACAGCTAGGTTGATGAAATTTCATATATAAGTATTTTATCAAAATCGTAGATCCGTATCAACTTTTGAGCGATTTCCGATAACCGGAAGTGGTACTTTTCCTACTTTGAATTTTTCAAAAGCCTATAACTTGAGTACTATTTCAGATAGATAAATGAAATTTCACATGTAAGTAAAAAATCTAATTCTCTACCTTTTGTTAAATTTTGAGTAATTTCCGTTGACTGGAAGTTGTAATTTACGCTACTTCCGATTTCTCAAAAAACTAATGTAAATTTTTAAAGTACTAATAATATTGCGCACTATTATACGCGTTTTTATTCGGCGTTTGCTTGGTGCGCAATGTTTTTTTTATGAGATTCTGTTCTATTTTTACAAGCTTTTATTTAACTCACTTCCTCTGTCGTAAGTCGTCAGTCGACAGTCTGTCGTCAGTCTAGACGGAAACGCAGGAGTGAAAATTCGGACAGTTCTACTTGACCGACACGATTCACAGTTGGCACGTGGGTCAAGACATGAAGACAATGCAATCTGAAACTAAATTTGACTTAATTGGATGCCTAATTGATTTTTTATGAATTAATTAAAATTTGGACCGAATTAGTAGGCATGTCTAGCCAACCACACCACACGCGTCATCAATAGCTGCGCCATCACGACCACGTAATGGCTGCGTTCAAAAACCATTGCGCGCCTACTGAACGTGATATTCAGTAGGCGCGCAATGGTTTTTAGTCATGTAACTCTATTGTAGATAAAACATGTAAAGTACTGGAAAAAAAATTCATAAAAAACGTTTTAATAACAAGCTTTTATGTAATGATGCACTAAAAAGTAGAAAATAAATTATAGACTACTATTTAAATAACTATAAAGAAAAGCGTGGGTGTCTTCCTTAACATTAGTAAAGGTATCCAATAGATACTAAAGTGACCCACGCTTTTCTTTATAGTTATTTAAATAGTAGTCTATAATTTATTTTCTACTTTTTAGTGCATCATTACATAAAAGCTTGTTATTAAAACGTTTTTTATGAATTTTTTTTTACAAGCTTTTATTTAACTCACTTCCTCTGTCTGTCGTCAGTCTAGACGGAAACGCAGGAGTGAAAATTCGGACAGTTCTACTTGACCGACACGATTCACAGTTGGCACGTGGGTCAAGACATGAAGACAATGCAATCTGAAACTAAATTTGACTTAATTGGATGCCTAATTGATTTTTTATGAATTAATTAAAATTTGGACCGAATTAGTAGGCATGTCTAGCCAACCACACCACACGCGTCATCAATAGCTGCGCCATCACGACCACGTAATGGCTGCGTTCAAAAACCATTGCGCGCCTACTGAACGTGATATTCAGTAGGCGCGCAATGGTTTTTAGTCATGTAACTCTATTGTAGATAAAACATGTAAAGTACTGAAAAAAAAATTCATAAAAAACGTTTTAATAACAAGCTTTTATGTAATGATGCACTAAAAAGTAGAAAATAAATTATAGACTACTATTTAAATAACTATAAAGAAAAGCGTGGGTGTCTTCCTTAACATTAGTAAAGGTATCCAATAGATACTAAAGTGACCCACGCTTTTCTTTATAGTTATTTAAATAGTAGTCTATAATTTATTTTCTACTTTTTAGTGCATCATTACATAAAAGCTTGTTATTAAAACGTTTTTTATGAATTTTTTTTACAAGCTTTTATTTAACTCACTTCCTCGTCATTCTGTCTGTCGTCAGTCTAGATAGAAACGCAGGAGTGAAAATTCGGACAGTTCTACTTGACCGATACGATTCACAGTTGGCACGTGGGTCAAGACATGAAGACAATGCAATCTGAAACTAAATTTGACTTAATTGGATGCCTAATTAATTTTTTATTAATTAATTAAAATTTGGACCGAATCAATAGGCATGTCTATGCCGACCGCACCACACGCGTCATCACGTTCCATAGCTGCGCCTTCAAGTTCAGTAGGCGCGCCATCACGTTCAATAGGCGCAATGGTTTTTAGTCATGTAACTCTATTGTGAATAAAACATGTAAAGTACTGAAAAAAAATTCATAAAAAACGTTTTAATAACAAGCTTTTATGTACTTATGCACTAAAAAGTAGAAAATAAATTATACACTACTATTTAAATTACTATAAAGAAAAGCGTGGGTCTCTTCTCAAATATTAGTAAAGGTATCCAATAGGTAGTAAAGTACTAAAGTGACCCACGCTTTTCTTTATAGTAATTTAAATAGTAGTGTATAATTTATTTTCTACTTTTTAGTGCATAAGTACATAAAAGCTTGTTATTAAAACGTTTTTTATGAATTTTTTAAAAGTTTAAGTATTTAAAATGGATTAAAAATCATAACTATATCCCCAGTTACCATCCCCTGTTGTTTTATATAAGAATATTCGAGAAAGTTTAGGGGAGATCACTACCGGTTTATTTTGATTGGCTATTACACAATTGTGACAGAACGTCTGTTATACATCTTCTAATGTAGTTTTCTATGTCTAGACACGCCCATGATGCTGATGACGTGGCGCTTGTGACGAACTTTGGCAGGATGCAAATCCAGGATCCCGTGAGTGATAGATTTTAATGTTCCACTGACCTCCCTTGACCGTGTATTAAACTCCAGTGACCTCCCCTTGACCGTGTATTAAACTCCAGTGACCTCCCCTTGACCGTGTATTAAAACCACCATTTGTCCTTACAGGGAGCTGCTGGCTATGGTAGATGGGGAGGTAACTCTCCCGGAGGAGTGCCTGGTGGATCAGCGCCTTGTGGTGGGCCAGGGTCATATGGAGGGTCAGGGTCATATGCAGGGTCACCAGGTTCCAGACGTGGACTAGCCGCAGGAAGTGAGATAATTACTTTAATTACTTTTGTATTAAGTTTATTCGTTAAAAGAGGTCAGGTTTGCTGATAGAATTAATGGGCGGGCCAATGTAAATCATGAGGGCTAAATGGGCCTATGGGCTTAATACATCAGGACTGGGTTGTCCCGGGTTGTCTCATGGACCTTGTACATAAGATGAGGCGCGTGGGCCCATGGACCTTATACATCAGATGAGGTGGGTGGGCCCATGGACCTTATACATCAGATGAGGTGGGTGGGCCCATGGACCTTATACATCAGATGAGGTGGGTGGGCCCATGGACCTTATACATCAGAGGAGGGGTTAGACCCATAGACATACATTAGAGCTGGGTGCGTCCCTTAAATAATGATTTCAATGGATCTCGAGACACGCCTAACTCCAACCATATCCACCTCCCCCCCCCCCCCCCAGATGTGCAGCCGGTGTGTGTCCACCCTAAGGCCGGCAACCAGATCCGGACATTCAGCGAGAGACATCGGAGTACCGGCTCCACGGTGACAACCTTCCTAAGTCAGGGCAGTCTAGACAACATGACCGTCAGTCAGTTCGGCTCGCTTGACGCCATAGTCGAATCAGACTAGTCTACAGGTCAGTCTGCTATAAGCTTGCTAGGCTAGTCTGTAGGTAAACTTGCTAGGCTAGTCTGTAGGTAAACTTGCTAGGCTAGTCTGTAGGTAAACTTGCTAGGCTAGTCTGTAGGTAAGCTTGCTAGGCTAGTCTGTAGGTAAACTTGCTAGTGACAACTTTTAAAGCTATGACAAGGTGGCCAATAGCACTGAAGATATGTAAATGAACCATTTAAATATTTACTTGCCCATGTTATTACATATATGCTTACACCCACACCCTATCTCACACATGCACACACACAAACCTTACGAACCCAGCATGCATTAGCTTCCTTTGACCCAAATTTCAACTTTTTAAATTTTTATTTCAGATCACACATGTGTATATACAAATACTGACGACCGGTGTAGAAAAAATTCCATGACTTAATTTATGGTGTTAAAAAATGAGCGATGCTTTGTGTGAAAACGAATGGCATATGGCATCAACCTAGTAGATGTGATATGTCATCAGACTAGTTGTGATATATGGCATCAAATCTGTGGATGGCATATGGCATCAAGTCTTTGGATGATAAAAGGCTCTTGAAAGGGACTTGAAACTTCAAAAATACGCTGTGTCCTTACATCAATGGATTGATTGTGTTTAACAAATTCCATGTTTCTTGTGATAATAGCCACTGAAGTAGTGAGGAAATATTTCAAGAATGTTTCTCTCACTTCTTCAACATGAGTCGAGAAAAATAAAATAAAGATACAAATAAAAACTACCAAGTATGCGCATTCATGTTTTTAAATTTTAGTATGGGAAATAACTCCAATAGGCTAGATGCATTAAAAGATTAATTCTTTAAAATGTTACGAATCAAAAGATTACGAAATTAGTGTTCCTGATTCAATAGCCAATCATAGTTAGTCTTACAAATGTTATTATCAGTTAATGTCAAGGATAGCCAAAGGTTAGTATTTCCCCATTTTTATGATCAGTTAACGTCAGTAGTATCATAATGCAAGTTGTAGCCTAATGTCAATGATAGCATAATGTCAGTGATAGTCTGGCAAAACTTCAAGTTTGTTGTCTTATGAATTTATGACATTCTATTATTTCAATGCAACATTTTTTTTTACATTGTGTACTCTACAGGCTCATTACAAAATAAAGCATTATGCTAATTAGAAGTCCAGTTTGTTTAGCCCATGCCAACTATAATAAGTGTCCCTCATTCACAATGGTTGGACGTCATTATCTTTTGTTTGATTACCTTGCCATGTTTGATTGGTTGAATTCATTTGAACTAAATAAAACCATAACACACTAAGATTTGACTTTCCTATTTAGAAAAACAAACGAAGAGGAGTCCTTTCAGGGCTAGTTTAAATAAATCAATGTAGGCCTACATGAACAGGTCTGAGTAAGGTAAACTAAGGTAAACTAAGGTAAACTAAGGTAAAGTAAGGTGAGTGGAAAAAAACGTCACAGGAAAAGAAGTCATAGAAAAAAGGCAAAACTTTATAGGAAAAAAGTCACAGAAATAAAGTCACAGAGAATGGTCACAAATCTGTATTAAGAAATATTTTGATTTATTACTGAGAATTGTAGAATTTTAGGCGTTTATAAATATGGGTGGTGTTTTTAACCCGTAAAAGCATTATGCTCCTTAATAATAATCCGCCTTTGATCTTCACAATCAGTACAAATAATATTAAATGTGTTACATATTTTTTCCAACACCGGTAGAAATTTTTTTTTATAAAAGACGGACTGAACCGCGACGTAGCTTACGCAGCTATCTAGTTGTTTTATTTTCTACTTATCAACAATTCACAATTTGTGAATTCGACACTATCCCCCCCACTCCCCCACCCCACCCAGTGAAAGCAGCCGTTTACAGAACTTATTATCTCCCCTTAGTTTCAAATCGTTTAAAAACTAAGTTATCTGCCCCTAATAGTCTTCACTTAATCGAACCGGCTCTACTATTGTAAACATTCGGGGTGAACCATAGCTCACCTGACAGGTGGGGATGAGGGTGGTTGCTAAGCTGCAAGGTGTCTCGTATGGTCCCCATAAAGAGAATATATATAGAGAAATGTAGGCATATTATCGTGTTTTGTGTGTTTTCCCCTATAGGCATTCCTACGGTCGGCCTTGTCTGTCCAAATTGTGTATTGTTGACGATTGCGTCAATGACATACATAGGCCTAGCTCAGACTAAATATTAATGTAATAAATATTATCATACAAATACAACATGCGTACATACATCTAAAATGGTAACATTACATTTGATTAATCGTGTGCTTATTTGCACTTTCTGGAAACATAAAATTATTAACAAATTGTTTGCAAATATACACATTTCTGACTTTTTTCGTGTGACTTTTTTTCCTACAATTGGTTCTGTAAGTTGGAGCTTAAAAGGACTTTAGAAAGTAATCCAAAAACATTTTATCGTCTTAATTGGTGGATAGAGACAAAGCTAAATAAAATTGATATATATATATATTTGAATCTACTTAACATTTTTAGATTTCGTTTCTTATGGATTATTTTACATAGTGTTTTGATGGTGGTAGTTTTGTGGTGATGATGTTTGGTGGTGGTTGTGGCATTATATAGCAGTGACTACATTTTTGTGGTAGCGATTTAGTAATAATGGTGGTGAGTTTTGTTCCAAGTGCCTGTGTCTTGTAATTGTGTGTGCCTTGTTGTTTTTTAAATTTTATCAACTGTAATCATTTTTCGATAATTGGCATGGTTAATTAATCACTGATACTATCAGTGTAATTAACTAAGATATGTATAGATGTAAAACTGATACTGGTGTGCTGCATGTATCAGACGGGTGGGTTAAATAATGTTGGTGTTGCTGTATCAATGTATAGTAAACAGCTGGGGTGGGATTTTTAAACGGTGGTATTTCAACTCTGATATCAAAAGAGTGAAAAGGTGGAATTTTATTATGACTGACCGAGGAGAGAAAGGTGGTATTTTAAATTCAGTCAAAATGGCAACATGTTGGTGTTTTAAACTCTTGACTTGTAGAAGGGTAAAAGGTGGTATTTTAAACTCTTGACTTGTAGAAGGGTAAAAGGTGGTATTTTAAACTTGACTTGTAGAAGGGTAAAAGGTGGTATTTTAAACTCTTGACGTGTAGAAGGGTAAAAGGTGGTATTTTAAACTCTTGACTTGTAGAAGGATAAAGGGTGGTATTTTAAACTCTTGACTTGTAGAAGGGTAAAAGGTGGTATTTTAAACTCTTGACGCGTAGAAGGGTAAAAGGTGGTATTTTAAACTCTTGACTTGTAGAAGGGTAAAAGGTGGTATTTTAAACTCTTGACTTGTAGAAGGGTAAAAGGTGGTATTTTAAACTCTTGACTTGTAGAAGGGTAAAAGGTGATATTTTAAACTCTTGACTTGTAGAAGGGTAAAAGGTGGTATTTTATTCTCAAAAACATGTAGGCTACTGTGTATATTTTTCTATTTAATGTCAGATTTAAACTTGATAATTTAATTTGTAATTTTTTGTGATAAAATTTGGAAAGGTGTGTTTATTTTTCCTAATTCTACTTAACGAGGAAAAAAATGGGATTTATTGTCTGATTTTGAGAAGTCAAACTAATGACTCGGATAGGCCCGCCACTAGAATTAAAATGTGGAGGTTGATTGGCAAATACACTGGTCTCTGTGTGGATAATTGATGGCCTTTTGTTATTAGTTAGGCTTTTAGACACTACTAGACACTCCGGTTGACTTAGAGATGCTAGTATAGTATACATAGATACCCCTTTAAACACTGACACCCCGGTAAACATAGACACCCCAATAAACATAGATACCCCTTTAAACATAGACACTCCAATAAACATAGACACCCCAATAAACAAAGATACTCCAGTAAACATAGACACTCCAATAAACATAGACACACCAGTAAACATAAACACCCCAATAAACATAGATACCCCTTTAAACATAGACACTCCAATAAACATAGACACCCCAATAAACAAAGATACCCCAGTAAACATAGACACTCCAATAAACATAGACACCCCAGTAAACATAGACACCCCAGTAAACATAGACACCCCAGTAAACATAGACACCCCAATAAACAAAGATACCCCAGTAAACATAGACACTCCAATAAACATAGACACCCCAGTAAACCTAGACACCCCTGTATTTAATTTCTGATCAACCTGAAACAAAGTTCCCACCTATCCCAATTCAAATGAAGCAGAGAAGAATCGTCTGTTGTGTTGAAATCGGGATCATTATGACGTTACCAATCATTAACTGAAATCGGGATCATTATGACGTTACCAATCATTAACTGAAATCGGGATCATTATGACGTTACCAATCATTAACATATTGTGCGGGTATAATAATGGGTATAATGAACATCACGCGCCACACGAGGGAGACACACAGCCTGCACATCCGTCTGGCCAGAAGTAGCAGGGGCAACAACTGTGGTGCATCAGCAGACGGCAACAAGACTAGTGCATCAACAGATTCGAGAGTTTAGATTCTGCTGCCCTTTGCACTATGGATTATGAAGAAGACGAAAATGAAAACATTGAAAAAAATGTAAGTATTCCAGGTGTAATTAGATTATATAATGTGACAGAATTAGATAAATCGTCAGACTAAATCAAATCATTCTTGATTATACAATTAACTGTTACATAGTCTAAAAGAATTAGATTATTTGACAGATTAAATGGAAATCAGATTTAAATATATTGAATACAATCATTCATGCATAAAGAAAAAGTATTAGTATAATTTTAGGCGTATCCTGCCGATTAAAATGTAATCAGGATTAAATGTAATTTTATACGACATAATTCGATTTTTAAACTAATTAAAATGCATGCAAGATTAAATGTATGTATTCTGGATTGAAAGTAACAGTTTAAGACATGTCAAAATAAGTTGTAGGCCTTCCTGACACTAAGTGTTTAACAGAAGTCATTGGATGTATGCAGTTAGTTGTGTTAGTGTTTGATTGCTTTTTTAATAATGTTTTAATTACATCGCATCACGTCACCTTAAATTATTTCCGTTATCCTGGGTCAGAGGTTACAATTTGTTTGTTCACGTGACCAAGATTAGCCAAAAAAAACACCTACCTCGTGTGTTGATTTGTTTACCTTTGGTGTTATCACCTGTGACACACGGTTGTGTGAATCTATGAGGTATCGATTTCTCCCTTCTGTCTAGTACATTCTCTAGACCTGATCATCTGATTAATCACAAAACAGCCGCTCACCAGACTGACCGTTACTATCTCGATTGACACAACTCAGTTAACTTTGGATGGTCAAAAACTGTTGAGCAGTTGAAGTTATTTGATGAAACCAACTAGATACGGCAATGCCTTAACTTGTACCTTTAAATACTTAGTAAACAAAATATTTAGATTTAGCTTAAGCGATAAGATAAAATTCCGAATCTGCATTTATATCTCTTTATCTGTATAAAACGGAAGCTAAAGCAAACGCTAAGCTGAATTATTATTTTTTCATACATAATATATATATATATATATATATATATATATAGATAGATAGATAGATAGATAGATATTTAAAACAACTAAGACAGGTGAAGTACTTATTCAGACGATGTGGTTTTTGTTAGTCATGTTAGAGATAGACACATACTGAACACAAGATGTTTTCGCTGTATACACCTACTGGACGGCCGCGAATGTTGTGTACCAACAATCTAAGCTTGTGACAAAACACGACATGCTTGGCTGGTTCTGTGGGGCTAATCTTTACCATCTAGTAGTTGAGCTGTTGTTAACAGGCACATGTTACAAATTATCGTGGCCTTGCTCAAATATTGGAGACATGACCCACTTAACAATGACCCCCGTACCCAACCATTGCCAACCAAAACACAGACCCACCTAACACAGACCCACCTAACACAGACCCACCTAACACAGACCCACCTAAAACAGACCCACCTAACACAGACCCACCTGTGACCCACCTAACACAGACCCACCTGTGACCCACCTAACACAGACCCACCTGTGACCCACCTAACACAGACCCACCTGTGACCCACCTAACACAGACCCACCTGTGACCCACCTAACACAGACCCACCTGTGACCCACCTAACACAGACCCACCTGTGACCCACCTAACACAGACCCACCTAACACAGACCCACCTAACACAGACCCACCTGTGACCCACCTAACACAGACCCACCTAACACAGACCCACCTAACACAGACCCACCTAACACAGACCCACCTAACACAGACCCACCTAACACAGACCCACCTAACACAGACCCACCTAACACAGACCCACCTAACACAGACCCACCTGTGACCCACCTAACACAGACCCACCTAACACAGACCCACCTAACACAGACCCACCTAACACAGACCCACCTAACACAGACCCACCTAACACAGACCCACCTAACACAGACCCACCTGTGACCCACCTAACACAGACCCACCTGTGACCCACCTAACACAGACCCACCTAACACAGACCCACCTAACACAGACCCACCTAACACAGACCCACCTAACACAGACCCACCTAACACAGACCCACCTAACACAGACCCACCTAACACAGACCCACCTAACACAGACCCACCTAACACAGACCCACCTAACACAGACCCACCTAACACAGACCCACCTAACACAGACCCACCTAACACAGACCCACCTAACACAGACCCACCTGTGACCCACCTAAGACAGACCCACCTGTGACCCACCTAACACAGACCCACCTGTGACCCACCTAACACAGAGCCACCTAACAATGACCCACCTAACACAGACCCACCTAACACAGACCCACCTAACACAGACCCACCTAACACAGACCCACCTAACACAGACCCACCTAACACAGACCCACCTAACACAGACCCACCTAACACAGACCCACCTAACACAGACCCACCTAACACAGACCCACCTAACACAGACCCACCTAACACAGACCCACCTGTGACCCACCTAACACAGACCCACCTGTGACCCACCTAACACAGACCCACCTGTGACCCACCTAACACAGACCCACCTGTGACCCACCTAACACAGACCCACCTAACACAGACCCACCTAACACAGACCCACCTGTGACCCACCTAACACAGACCCACCTAACACAGACCCACCTAACACAGACCCACCTGTGACCCACCTAACACAGACCCACCTAACACAGACCCACCTAACACAGACCCACCTGTGACCCACCTAACACAGACCCACCTAACACAGACCCACCTAACACAGACCCACCTGTGACCCACCTAACACAGACCCACCTAACACAGACCCACCTAACACAGACCCACCTAACACAGACCCACCTAAAACAGATCCTTCTAACATAGACCCACTTTACAATGACCCACGTGTGACCCACCTAACAATGACCCAAGTGTGACCCACCTAACAATGACCCACCTGTGACCCACCTAACAATGACCCACCTGTGACCCACCTAGCGATGACCCCCCTAAACCGCCCCTTCCCTACCCCCAGGCTCGCAAATTCAGAGAACTGTTCCGTGGCCGATTCACCCAGGGGGACGCTGTGAGGATCGTCAAAGAGTTCCAGGGTTTGGGGGACGCCGTGCAGTTCTTCCTAACTGGTAATTACAATTTTACTTTAGCATAACAAACACAAAAGTTATACACATTTAGCTTCTTGCTGCTGTTGTAATAATAATGTCACAGACTGTATAATTAGGTATGTTTATATTATTGTGTTTTACATGAAGTTGCATGAATGAAGAGTACCTGGCTAGCGGAAGGACTGTTTGAGCGATCGTCATGTGTTTTTCCATGTTTTTGGGTGAGATCGCTCATGTACGTAAGGGGAGAGAAAGTAGTGAATAAAAGGGAGAGCAAAAGGTGAACGGGTGTTGTGTGCTAGGATTTGGGACTGGAACGATGGCAGGGAATGTAAGATGTCTCCATGACTTGGAGTCGTGATTATTATTTGTACCTATATCAGTTGATCTTCAAATATGGATGTACCACGGATTTATCTGTACATAGTGTAAATAAAGTTGTCATTTCAAGTTGCCACTGTTGCTCGTGTTCCTGTATGAAACCCACAACAACAAAGAATACATGTTGTTACATATGGTGTCAGAAGTGGAGGCAATAAAGTGATGTTGCTACATTGTATTACTGTTACTTATGATGTCACAAGTGGTTGAAGAATTGGTGCTACATATGTCAGAAATGGAGATATTACAGTCTGTGGTCTTCCACTGTTTACCAAGTACGTCAAGTTCTTGAAAGTCATCTATCTACACTCAAGTCAGAAGGGTTGCTGTAGTCAAGTCAGACGTTTTGTTCAAGTCAAGTCATCAACGTGATAATTTTTATCACCTTATTTCGATATTGTCTCACCAATGTCGAGTAAATATCGTCTGTGTGTTTTTTCTGTTTGGATTTAGCCGATCAAGTCTTAGTGTTTCTTTTCTACTGTTTGGATTTAGCTGTTCAAGTTTTTTCTATATGGATTAGCTGTTCAAGTTTTTCTACTGTTTGGATTTAGCAGATCAAGTTTATTTTTGTAACTGTTCCTAAACTGTTCCTAAAGATGTCTTATCTAAAACTGGACAAATTTCTACTCTGTAACAGGCTACTAGAACTATTTTGAATTTTTTCAACTTTTTGGAATCAACAAAGTGAACTATTTTGGACGTATATATGTACTATGAACTAAAACAAGCGAGAAACCAAGAAAGGGTATTGTAAATTAATTAACATTTATCTATTGTCAACTAATGAATTTATATTTTATGTCATAAATAGAAAATATATCAAAATGTTATGTTTTGAAGAATATCTAGCACTAGCGAGGGCGCAAGGCATTAAGAAGATGAAGAAGCAGATAGCCTGGGCAAACACTCGATTTGACAGAGACATAGAAAAAGCATTAGAAGCATGGGACGAAGAAAATGAACAACCCAGACTAGCTCATGGAAAAGTAATAAGAGAATTAGATGGTGAGACAGAAATAGTGCGTAATAGATCAACAGCTATTACAGACATGCAAAAAGAAGAAGAAATGTCAGATGGAGATAAAGTAGAAGAGACTGTACAACTAAAAGGAAAGCGAAAAAAAAGAAACAGAAAACAGAGAGCAGATAAAAGGGCTGAAACTTTGGAAAAACAAGTTGGCCTACATGAACTAGAATATAAACAAGAACTATTAGAAATGAAAGCTATAACAGACACAAATGAACCAAAATTAGAAAGTGAACAGACAGAATTTAAAGCAGAACTTGAAGAAGTAAATATTAGCAACATTTGGAATGAAGAACTAAGTAACATAGTCCAGGAAGAATTGAAACCCAAGGATAAAACAGAGGGTGAACTTAATAATGATTTAAAGGTGACAGATACATTAGAATGTCTTAAGATTGACTCTTTATTAAATGATACGCAGGTACACGAGAATATTATTGAAAGTTGTATCACAAGTCCATCAGAGAATGGCAGTCAAAATGATTTAATAAGCCCATCAGTGAATGGCAGTGATGATTTAATAAGTCCATCGGAGAATGGCAGGAATCATGATAAACTAATGATGATTAATGAATCAGTGAACTTAATAAGCCACAATGAAGAGAACGTACCTATTGAAGATTTACTTCGAAAATTGGAGTCAAACTATAAAGAAGATATACTAGAACTCAAGAATAAATTTAACAAAGAAATGGAGAAATTAACACATAAATTTATGTGTGAACTAGAATCAATAAAGAAGCACAAGGAAGTTAAGAAAGATGAAACAGTAACTAGAAACTACAATGTCATTGGTGCACAGAATGAAAGTAAAAGAAATTTAGCAAACTATGAATATAGTCAACATGTTAATAAGAATGTCATTAGTGTCATTAATGCACAGAATGAAAGAAAAAGAAATTTAGCAAACTATGAATACAGTCACCATGTTTATAAGAAGCCAAAATCTAGATGTTTTTACTGCGGAAAAACAGGTCATTACCAAAATCAATGTTGGCATAGGTTGGCAAATCAGAGAAGAAACAATTGTGTACACAGAAAGTCATGTGAGAAATACAGTAATTTAAGAAATAATGTATCAAGTTCAAATCAGAATAACAAAAGTGTGAATAGGTATACTAATGGAAGTTACCGACGCAACACATATTATGAGAGGCCAAAGCAATGCCATAATATTTATATTGAGTTGGTTGATGAACCAAACGAACGTACACAAAGCAAGATAACTACTGACGTTGTTCAGAAACCAGAGGAGAATATTAAAACAAATGAAGTAACACAAGTTACACGAAATCTAGGAAATGATTATGGTAGCACAGCTAAAAGCTACAATTTGAGGGAGAGATGGCATACAGGTCAACGTCAACTGCACGAGAACGATTACTCATGCTATAGAGGATGCTAAGATTAAATTATCAATTTACAGTTTATTAATATTATACAGTCTGTAACTGTAAAATATGGATATCAAACAATTTGTATCAATAATATAAATTGTGTACTATTTCAAAAGATTGTAAACTGTATTATGTTAAACCTATTCTATACTATTAATTAACAGTGAATAAAGTAAATCAAGTAAAAGTTAGAGACTATTTATTCCGCATAACAATAAGACGGAAGTCTCAATGATGAATTGTATCAGTCGATACCTGTGAAAGGCAAGAATGTGGTTGTGTTGTGACCTATATGTGTCTGAAATGGGTCAAATAGGGGAGACAACAAAGTATATTACTCATGCGTGGTAATAACATACCTTGATGATAAGGAAGTTTTTTTACCACATAGGATATAGTTATTTAAATTATGAGTTGAATCAAGTCTTTGATAATTTCAACTATGTATTATAGTTTGGTAATTTACTAAACTCATTGATCTTGTTTATACTACAATTACTGGGTAATTGAAATGTTTTTCCTTCTCATATTTGAATATATTACACATAATGCTTGTGCATTAATCTACAAAGAATGTATTTTCCATGTTTTTTGAGATGTATAAAAATTTTTGTTGTCTGGCACATGGTCCTGCCCTACCAATATTGTATTTATAAATTTTGTTACACAAAATTTTATTTGAAGGGGGGACGTGTCACAGACTGTATAATTAGGTATGTTTATATTATTGTGTTTTACATGAAGTTGCATGAATGAAGAGTACCTGGCTAGCGGAAGGACTGTTTGAGCGATCGTCATGTGTTTTTCCATGTTTTTGGGTGAGATCGCTCATGTACGTAAGGGGAGAGAAAGGAGTGAATAAAAGGGAGAGCAAAAGGTGAACGGGTGTTGTGTGCTAGGATTTGGGACTGGAACGATGGCAGGGAATGCAAGATGTCTCCATGACTTGGAGTCGTGATTATTATTTGTACCTATATCAGTTGATCTTCAAATATGGATGTACCACGGATTTATCTGTACATAGTGTAAATAAAGTTGTCATTTCAAGTTGCCACTGTTGCTCGTGTTCCTGTATGAAACCCACAACAACAAAGAATACATGTTGTTACAAATAACATGAGTGCGTATTACGAAGAAATATTAGTTGTTTTAATTAAAGTACATAGTTAAGTAATAGAACTATATTCGCGCAAGTTTGCTAAGATTAAAATAAATGATTTATGGGTCAGACTATAAATGAATTCATTCGAATTATCACCTGTAATCATTATGCTATACTCATTGAATTCCAAGAGTCCCTTCCCCTCGCTTCCTCCATAAACTGAATTCATATTTCCATTCAACCTCTGAAATGTGCATCTCTACAAAATATGAACATTTATTTTGTCCTCATCTCAAATGATAAAATGTGACAATTTACTAGATAAACCCTCCTCCCTCTTACAAACGTAGTACATCTTCAAAGCGTTTGACCCCCCCCCCCCCCACCCCCCTTTTTTTACAAGCAGGTGTTGTCATTTGTAGACGACCGCAAATTAAATTAAATATTTACTGTTGGTCGAAAAATCTATTAAACATAATTTTACCAACAAGTTAACCTGCAATATTTGATTTAAAGATATCCTTTGAAAACTAATTGATATAATAATATTATGATATAACTATTAACTTTGAAGAATAATTGATGTAACAATTAGCTTTCAAACTAATTTTTGTAACTAATTTCGTGAAAAATCACCAAACTGAACAGCTTGATGTAGCTTTATGTTACTAAGCAACTTAGCGAACCCGGTGTAAAACTCTTCACAGGTCAAACATGTTCGAAACGTAGATTGCTATTCTTTATTTAAATTTCAGCTTCCTCCGAACAAGTCAGCGAGTTTCTTGGAGAGGTAGGGCCTAATTGTTCAATTGTTTATTTGGGGGTGTAGCATTACGGATGAATAAAAGACAGTGACTTCTAATTTATTAAGATTGATTGACATAAAGACAGTCCCAAAATGATTGCTAATGACACCCCACCTCAGACACACACTCACGCACACATTATGCTGTAAGTACCGCATTAGGTATTAACCGCCCCACACCCACACACACACACACTCATACACACATAATGCTGTAAGTACCGCATTAGGTATTAACCCCCCACACCCACACACACACACACACTCACGCACACACACTCACGCAAACATAATGCTGTAAGTATCGCATTATGTATTACCCCCCCCCCCCCCCACACACACACACACAACCACGCACACAATGCATTAGGTTGAACTACAAACAGAACACTCTCTCTGCCAGGACCAAGTCTACCAGGCCAACTTGCAGGCCGATGCTGACCACGTGATGGCCAGACTGGCATCAGACCTCCAGCAGGACGCTAGCGAGCAACAGTTCGCCTGCCAACGTTGTGACAAAAGTTGGTGGAAGAAGGTTCCGAACAGAAAGATGGTGAGACTGTGTCCACGGAATTATTTGCATGCTACACATAGATTAGACTGCATCTTAACAAGTTATAAATAGTAAAGCCTTCTGAACAAAACATTTCAGCTTATATAAAGCTAAAAAAGATCACCAACAACTTTTATTCTTGTGCTTAGATCATATTGTATTCATTGATTCATTTATGTCACGACACAAACAGGATGCAAAATATAATAGACCCACCTTCAACTGTTCGCTTATAAGAATGACCAAATTTAATGGTGGCACTTTTTTTAAACGGTAACATTTTTTATTCCACCTGACCAGGTATCAACGTGCAATCGTTGTAAGCAGAAACTGAAGGCCATCCCTAAGGAGAATCAGTGGGGGTGGGGAAGGTTCCATTGTGAAGACTGCGATAACAAATTTTAGTAAGTTCTTAAACAAAATAGCTACATGAATATTTTCAAACTATGTATTTTTCTTAAAACTCAAGCATATGAAACAGTGTTTTGCAATGTAAGTACGGGTTACATTTAGAGCTATACTGCCTAACACATAAAAAGACTTGCTTACCAACTTCGTGTTATGTAACATCTCCTTAGAGTATATGTAAAACCATGACAAAAACAGCAAAAATTCTATCAATTTTTTAAATAAAATATACTACCCAGCTGTCCTTGGTAAAACCGTCTATCTGATGCACTAAGTGTACCCTAAACATTTAGCGCACGAAGTTTACCCCACTTCTCCATACCACTACTAAATACCCAACCTTTTTATGCTCACTGTTCCAGTCACAATATATATACATTTATTTGATTGAAATATAACTTTGTGTATTATTTCAGCGGAGTAGGTACTATGGGAATGACCAAAAGTAAATGCTACGATTGTGATAACGAAACTGACATCAAAGAGATCATCCCCCCTAGAATAAAGAAGGAAATGCGGAAGACCAGGAATAACCATAACTGCAACGGAATCAACTGCTACAACGGTTATAACACGGTCAACCCAAGGCCTTATAGAAACGATATTGAGCTGTGAGATATTTGTTGAAATTTTATCACTTCTAAACCTCGCCGCTTGTTATCTAACCACCTCTCGTCCTCTAAACCTCACTTCTCGTCCTGTAAACCTCACCTGTTGTCCTCCAAACCTCACCTGTTGTCCTCCAAGCCTCACCTGTTGTCCTCCAAACCTCACCTGTTGTCCTCCAAACCTCACCTGTTGTCCTCCAAACCTCACCTCTCGTCCTCCAAACCTCACCTCTCGTCCTCCAAACCTCACCTGTTGTCCTCCAAACCTCACCTGTTGTCCTCCAAACCTCACCTCTCGTCCTCCAAACCTCACCTCTCGTCCTCCAAACCTCACCTCTCGTCCTCCAAACCTCACCTGTTGTCCTCCAAACCTCACCTCTCGTCCTCCAAACCTCACCTCTCGTCCTCCAAACCTCACCTCTCGTCCTCCAAACCTCACCTCTCGTCCTCCAAACCTCACCTGTTGTCCTCCAAACCTCACGTGTTGTTCTCCAAACCTCACCTGTTGTCCTCCAAACCTCACCTGTTGTCCTCCAAACCTCACCTGTTGTCCTCCAAACCTCACCTGTTGTCCTCTAAAATAACTCACAAGAAAACAAATTTTGTATTCTAACATTTGTCTAACAATAGATATAGAAATTAACTAATGTTTTTTTATTCTATCTTCTAGCCGTGTCCAACCAAACAATGTGAGTTTACTTTCTTATAAAATGTCTACACCAACGCTATTGTAAACTTGTTTTATAGTTTCTTACATTTGTCTTACAATAACTTGTTACAATTGATTTTTTTTTCAGCCTCACCGCACTGGTCGTGAGGGTAGGTATGATTTCTATATTCAGGTGACCCTTTGATGACCTGTGGTCAAATACAGATGATGTCATGTCTAAATGGCATAGAAACGCCACATTGCGTAGATGACCGTGTGCCCAGTAGCCTTTATGCGATACACAAATGACACGTAGCATAGATAAAGTATGTAGACGACATACAAAATTAGCATGTGAATCGGTGGATCTAGATTGAATGGGGTTACGTTTTGAAAAGCTCAAATCTTTGGGTCCACGACATATTGCCGAAAGACACTTGCTCGAATGCCGTTTACCCGACGGTCGATTTCCCGAATGGACGCTTGCCCGAATGCGAAAAATTTGTGTCCGGCAAAAAAAAAACCTGGACAAAAAACCCCTGGATATATACCCCCGACATAAACGCCCTGGACAACCCCCCCCCCCCCGCGACATAAACCCCCTGAACAACTCCCCCCCCCCCCCGCACAAAAACACACACACACACATCAGCCCATCCCATCTGCCTCAAATTATCAAGAAATATCAAGATATTAAGTAGAAGTCAAAATATAAATTTGATTCATTTTTCCATTTGTAACCCTCACTCAGTGGGGATGCTTTTACCCACTGAGGTGTTGTGGTTAAGACGGGCTGACCCTGAGATTAAGTACACACTGACACCGACAGATGTTGTCAATTACTCGCTTTATTTACAGCATCGAGCCATGACGGCGATGCAACACAGTAGTACAAAACAAACTAGCCAAGAAGAAAAACCAAAACCAAATCCAAAACCAAAAGACCAAAAGCTGTAGCCCTAAAACAAATGTAAATAAAAAAAAGTTACATTCCTGACAACACCATGTGTAGGCTACAATATACACGGGTAACAATAAAATATGTTTTGGCCAGTACACAGTACTGCCAACAAGTACCAATACGTAGTACTTCAAATAAATACTTATATTAATACTCACCCTAACTAGTGTGCACATGCAGCACTAGCAGGAATACACAACTAAGTATTTTAACAAACATAATTTATATAACTACCTTCATTAGGTCTACATCTTGGTCCACAGACAGCAGCCTTACGTGTGCGACACGGCTAGGCATGAAACTACCCACAGTCCCATGTCACATGACATGGAACACAGGTAACATCGCTCACAAAAGCATAAAAAAACAACGTCAACAGTTCAGTTGCAGTCCCACAGGGGCCGCAACCCAATGAATAAAAACTTCATATTTTTATCCCCCTTGGCTGGTATCCATATGTGTTACACAATCTATATATATATAATTCTCTTCTGGGAGCCGCTAAAAAACAAGCTGCAAACGCGCCTAGAAAACAAGCTGTAAACGCGCTCCCTACCTCCCCACCCCTACATGATTTTAGTGAGCTGTGTTCACTCTAAATGTTTACAAGCAGAGCCAACGATTTTAAACGTAGGGGGGAAGGGGGGAGGAACGGGGGGGGTATGGTCCTTAAAACGAGCTACTTATAGTGTTTTAAAGAAATATTTTCAGTGGCAGCGTTGGTACTGTCGAATTCACAAATTAGGAATAACTGAAAAGTAGAAAAAACAACAACTAAATAGCGGCGTATGTTATGCCGCGGGCCGGCTCGTTAAAAATATTTTATTTAGAGTGTTCGAAAAATCTCGGGTGATTGGGTATGTTGACAATAGTATTCACTCACCAAACTAGAGCGCTTACCTTCCGTAATGGCACAGTTTACCTGGGTCCTTCCTCTGTACAGGTAAACCAGCCGTGTGCATTCACAAGTTTTCACCTCGTCCAGCAAGTTCCAGAGTCCGCACGTGGAGTGAGGTGCACATCAGCTCAGGGTCAACGGTCACCACGTGCATTGACCAGGGCAGCTTGAACACAGGGACGGGATCGTTTGCCTACACCATGTACACATCATCTATTAGACAATAAACTAGACCATCGCCTACACCATGTACACATCATCTAGTACACGATAAACTAGACCATCGCCTACACCACCATGTTCACTTCATCTAGTACACAATAAGCTAGACCATCACCTACACCACCATGTACACATCATATATTAGACGATAAACTAGACCATCTTCTACACCATATATACACAATCTATTAGATCAGGGGTTCCCAACCCTGTGCCCGCGGGCGCCATGGCTGAACGATTCTTATGTGCCCGCCTCTCACTATTCGAGAGAGACAGAATTTTTTTCATAAACATTATTTTAAAATATGATTTATTTTTATTCATTTGTTACAGTTTTAATTTTTGATACGCTCCTAATCATGAAGCTCTGGCCAATGAAATCCAATGCCAAAGATCGCATTGATTTTATTATATTTTTTAATTAGATGCTTCCTTTGTATTTATGTGTTTTGTTTACTTTCTATACGTTTTGTAAATACATTTCTCTGTGTGTTGTGTGTATGCAATTTGAAAAAAATGCCAAATAATTTTATTATTTTGAAACATTTTTGTTTATTATTTATTAATACATTAGACTATTAGAAAATAAGAAAATAAGAAAATAAATTATGGGAAAATGACAAGTTATGGAAGGGGTTTGTCGATTTAAAATAGGTGGTGCCCGCCACCCTACCGATATTTTAGAATGTGCTCTAGAGTAAAAAAAAAAAGGTTGAGAACCCCTGTATTAGACGATAAATTAGACCATCGACTCAAAAAACAACGTGAACATCTGCTCACTAATCATCAGTGTTACTTGTATGGGGATGACAATACGAATGGTATTAACGTAGGATCGTGTGTGTGGCACTATGGACTCAGATTTTTACTGTCTCGTATACTGTGCATAGTGGGAGTTTCGTAATCGTGCACAAAAATGTCATGAAATTTTGACAGCTTTTCCGTTTTACACCTCCCTACTTTTTTTTTAAATTAAGGTTTTTGCGTCATTGTAGTTATCAAATCAAATAGCAGCAGTGGTGGACGATGGAACGTTGACTGTAGATTTTGTGCTGAGGTTTCTGTGTCCTATACAAGTTTTACAGTATGCGTTATGCAAATATTTTCACCTTTTCCCTGTGTTATAAAAACCATGGAGGTCATGTTAAAATGTTCTAATTAAATTAATTATAATCAATCTATCGTATTGCTTGTGTACATGTATGCTGTATGTGTATTTCAGTATGTATACTAAATGTGCTATAAACTAAATTACCAGACAATATTTGTTTCCTAGGCAGGAGTGAGACATTTTAAGCAGCTTTAAAACTGAGGCAGGCTGCACAGCCAAAGATGAACTGAGTCTGGTGTATACTCAAACACTGGCTGGTTACAACCAGGCAACCATGTGATTGCACATGGATGATTGTAACCATAAAATAAAAATGTCTTAGACTCTATTTGGATGGTCAGAGGATAAGACAGCAAATCAATGAAGAAAAGCAGGCTGAAGTCTGGACATATGGCGCTTAACATGTTGACAATTAGTAATATTTAATTATTTTGGAGGAAATTCCCCTCTTAAATTTAAAATTAAGACAAAGAATATAAGCCAAGCAAACGTAATTCAGTAACTTTTAAAAAAAAAAGTATTTGAATTATTCCCCTTGTGTCAAATCCTGATTTAAATAGTAAAAAAAAAGTACAGTGGCAAAGCGTCCACGTCAAAAGGACCAACGACAAATGGGTCCCGTTATATAGGTAGCCGACGAAACGGTTCCCGTCAATACGATTCCCTCGATAGGCCAAGGTAACAGAAACAGGTGAACTCTACTTCACTTGCCCCATGGACCGTATGGTTCGAGAAGTTTTATGTGTAATTACATTGGGCAAAAGGTTTAATACGTCGATAAACAATTACTGTGGTCTTTGTGTAAATACATCGGCCAACATGTTTAATATATCGCGGTCAATAAACAATTACTGTGGTCTTTGTGTAAATACATCGGCCAACATGTTTAATATATCGCGGTCAATAAACAATTACTGTGGTCTTTGTGTAAATACATCGGCCAACATGTTTAATATATCGCGGTCAATAAACAATTACTGTGGTCTTTGTGTAAATACATCGGCCAACATGTTTAATATATCGCGGTCAATAAACAATTACTGTGGTCTTTGTGTAAATACATCGGCCAACATGTTTAATATATCGCGGTCAATAAACAATTACTGTGGTCTTTGTGTAAATACATCGGCCAACATGTTTAATATATCGCGGTCAATAAACAATTACTGTGGTCTTTGTGTAAATACATCGGCCAACATGTTTAATATATCGCGGTCAATAAACAATTACTGTGGTCTTTGTGTAAATACATCGGCCAACATGTTTAATATATCGCGGTCAATAAACAATTACTGTGGTCTTTGTGTAAATACATCGGCCAACATGTTTAATATATCGCGGTCAATAAACAATTACTGTGGTCTTTGTGTAAATACATCGGCCAACATGTTTAATATATCGCGGTCAGTTGACAATTACCGTGGTCTTTGTGTAAATACATCGGCCAACATGTTTAATATATCGCGGTCAATAAACAATTACTGTGGTCTTTGTGTAAATACATCGGCCAACATGTTTAATATATCGCGGTCAGTTGACAATTACTGTGGTCTTTGTGTAAATACATCGGCCAACATGTTTAATATATCGCGGTCAGTTGACAATTACCGTGGTCTTTGTGTAAATATTTGATGACCTTGTGTGTTAGAAATGGCTTTAGAAAATGCTTGATTTACAGGTAGCTTATCGACAAGTGAACGGATTAGTTCGAGATCGATTCTCTTCTTGATAACCTTATCTGTAAACGTTAGACCAAGTCTTCTGATAAGATTTAAACTTCCGGCTAAAGCTGGCTATTTCAGAACTACAAATGTTGTTAAACCGATAACATAATTGCTATACAGTTGTTAAACCAATAAAATAATTAGACGGCACATACAGCAATAGACAGTACACACCATACATGTACACTACAATAGACGGCACACACCATACATGTACACATAAATAGACGGCCCACACCATACATGTACAATAGACGGCACACACCATACATGTACACAGCAATAGACGGCACACACCATACATGTACAATAGACGACACACACCATACATGTACACAGCAATAGACGGCCCACACCATACATGTACACATAAATAGACGGCACACACCATACATGTACACAGCAATAGACGGCCCACACCATACATGTACACAGCTATAGACGGCACACACCATACATATACACAGCAATAGACGGCCCACACCATACATGTACAATAGACGACACACACCATACATATACACAGCAATAGACGGCCCACACCATACATGTACAATAGACGGCACACACCATACATGTACAATAGACGGCCCACACCATACATGTACACAGCAATAGACGGCACACCCATACATGTACACAGCAATAGACGGCCCACACCATACATGTACACTACAATAGACGACACACACCATACATGTACACAGCAATAGACGGCACACACCATACATGTACACATAAATAGACGGCACACACCATACATGTACACAGCAATAGACGGCCCACACCATACATGTACACTACAATAGACGACACACACCATACATGTACACAGCAATAGACGGCACACACCATACATGTACACATAAATAGACGGCACACACCATACATGTACACAGCAATAGACGGCCCACACCATACATGTTCACAGCAATAGACGGCCCACACCATACATGTACACATAAATAGACGGCACACACCATACATGTACACAGCAATAGACGGCCCACACCATACATGTACACAGCAATAGACAGCACACACCATACATGTACACAGCTATAGACGGCACACACCATACATGTACACAGCAATAGACGGCACACACCATACATGTACACAGCAATAGACGGCCCACACCATACATGTACAATAGACGGCCCACACCATACATGTACACAGCAATAGACAGCACACACCATACATGTACACAGCAATAGACAGCACACACCATACATGTACACAGCTATAGACGGCCCACACCATACATGTACACTACAATAGACGACCCACACCATACATGTACACAGCAATAGACGGCACACACCATACATGTACACAGCAATAGACGGCCCACACCATACATGTACACAGCTATAGACGGCCCACACCATACATGTACAATAGACAAGACACCCGGAAGTGATTTCAAGTTGAATGGTGGGGGGGGGGGGGACAGGGAAATAATTCAACCTGCCATGTCCTTAGTTTTATCATTGTTAGAGTTCAAGACAAATCTGGTGAACACACTCCCCCAAGTACACAAACTCCCCAAAGTAAACACACTCCCCAAAGTCAACACACTCCCCAAAGTAAACACACTCCCCAAAGTAAACACACTCCCCAAAGTAAACACACTCCCCAAAGTAAACACACTCCCCAAAGTAAACACACTCCCCAAGTAAACACACTCCCCAAGTAAACACACTCGCTAAAGATCCCACTAAACACAGACACCCCACTAAACAAAGACACCCCACTAAACACACACACCCCAGTCAACACACACCCCAGTCAACACACACCCCAGTCGTACATTTCTGATCAACTTGAAACAATGATCCCACCAATTCTAATGAAGCAGAGATGTTACATCTGCACTGTGATGTGTTGAAATCGGGATCATTATGACTTTACCAATCATTAACATATTGTGTGGATATAATGTTAAAATCGGGATCATTATAACTTTACCAATCATTAACATATTGTGTGGATATAATGATCAGCACGCGCCAAGCGAGAGAGAGATTTGTCGCTCCTGTGTCGTCTGCACCACGTCTGTTACACGACACACGGCATGCACATCCGTCTGGCCAGCAGTAGCAGGGGCAACAACTCTAGTGCATCAGCAGACGGCAACAGGACCAGTGCATCAACAGACTCTAGACTCGTGATCTTGCTGGCCTTACTATGGCCGACGAGGAGGACGGGAATGATAACAGCGAAAATAATGTAAGTATTCAAGGTTTATTTACATTACATAATTATCTTATCTTACATATATTCAGTATTATCTGTAATGTATTTGTCATTATCTGGCAGATTAAATGTAGATCTGTTAAGTGTGTAACAGAGTTTAATTCTAATGTTCCAATGATTGATATCTAGATTTATATAGATTCTATCTGGTGTTATTTTGACGACTTTTATTGCCTGTTTGGGTCTACAACAATGTAGTAACTGTTGACGGCCTTTTACATTGTTCCATTTAATACGTCATATTCGCTTATAGGTTGTTGACGTCCTGTTGGATTAGATTGTTGACGTCTAACACGTCCGTTTACACGTGTTCCATGACAGTGTTGACGTTTAGTGCGTCACCTTTAATTGTTTTTGGTTATTAGGGTCAGAGGTCACCCGCTTCCAATTTGTTTATTCTCGTGACTTGGATTAGCCAATCAAATCATCTCGCTCGTGTATTGATTTGTTACCTCTGGTGTTATTATATGTGCTTGTTGGTGTTGGCAGGTGTAAACATACCTGTCGTGTGATTCTATTCACAGGTGAATTGATCTCTTGCTTCTGTCCAGCATGCTTTAGGTACATTCTCTAGACATAGATTAAAGTACATTCTCTAGGTCTGACTTAAGGCACATTCTCTAGACATAGATTAAAGTACATTCTCTAGGTTTGACTTAAGGCACTTTCTCTAGACATAGATTAAAGTACATTCTCTAGACATGAGTTAAGGTACATTCTCTAGACTTGACTTAAGTTACATTCTCTAGGTCTGACTTTAGGAACATTCTCTAGACATGAGTTAAGGTACATTCTCTAGACTTGACTTAAGTTACATTCTCTAGGTCTGACTTTAGGAACATTCTCTAGACATGAGTTAAAGTACATTCTCTAGGTCTGACTTAAGGTACATTCTCTAGGTCTGACTTAAGGTACATTCTCTAGACCTGATTTTAGGTACATTCTCTAGACCTGACTTAAGGTATATATGTACATTCTCTAGGTCTGACTTAAGGTACATTCTCTAGACCTGATTTTAGGTACATTCTCTAGACCTGACTTAAGATATATATGTACATTCTCTAGGTCTGACTTAAAGTACATTCTCTAAACCTGACTTAAGGTACATTCTCTAGGTCTGACTTAAGGTAACTACACCTCATCAAACAACAGCCCTACACCTCATCAAACAACCCTACACCTCATCAAACAACCCTACACCTCACCAAACAACCCTACACCTCATCAAACAACAACCCTACACCTCACCAAACAATCCTACACCTCATCAAACAACAACCCTACACCTCATCAAACAACCCTACACCTCATCAAACAACAACCCTACACCTCATCAAACAACAACCCTACACCTCATCAAACAACAACCCTACACCTCATCAAACAACCCTACACCTCATCAAACAACAACCCTACACCTCATTAAACAACAACCCTACACCTCAACAAACAACCCTACACCTCATCAAACAACAAGCCTACACTCATCAAACAATAACCCTACACCTCATCATACAACAACCCTACACCTCATCAAACAACCCTACACCTGATCAAACAACCATACACCTCTTCAATCAACAACCCTACACCTCATCAAACAACAACCCTACACCTCATCAAACAACCCTACACCTCACCAATCAACCCTACACCTCATCAAACAACAACCCTACACCTCATCAAACAACCCTAAACCTCACCAAACAACCCTACACCTCATCAAACAACAACCCTACACCTCATCAAACAACAACCCTACACCTCATCAAACAACAACCCTACACCTCATCAAACAACAACCCTACACCTCATCAAACAACCCTACACCTCATCAAACAACAACCCTACACCTCAACCAACAACCCTACACCTCATCAAACAACAACCCTACACCTCATCAAACAACCCTACACCTCATCAAACAAACCCCCTACACCTCATACTATGCACATTCAATGTCTGATCATTGAATGAATCGAGTATTGGTCTCCACTCTTCACTTTGGACTGTGTGAGACTGAGTAAGGCTATGCGTATACAACCACGTGACACTTTGACCACGTGACTAGTGACCCAGTGAGGGGAGGGGGACATTCTGGTAATCTAAACATAAACACAATAACCCGTTAGCTGCCGAGTGATTGCCCCTTACTCTATTTTTGGCATTTTTTATTGCACGTTTGTTGACTGAAACATCAGAGGAGGGTGGGGGTCCGGCTAGGGGTATCACCCTGTAATAAAAGTCAAAGCGCAACATCGGATAGGGTAGAACTAAGACAGCACTACGTCACACTTTTTTTACTGCTATATTAAAATTTGGAATTGAGGTCATAACCGATTTTACTTCCCATACCCTCCCCGACCTTCAAACATCGTCACATCCCCCCCCCCCACACACACACTTAACGCGTCCCCTGTTACATATAGTCATAAAAGAAGGTATAGCCGACCCCATAGTTGGGATCATTGTTGATTGGCAGAGAGACACATCAGCACAGACACATCATGGATAAACATATAGACACTGACACTATACATATACATAGACTCATGGATAGACACACGTGGGCAGACATATGTACAGACACACAGACCGACATACACGACTCTCCGCCAAGGGTATGGGTGAGAGCGAAGGTTGTGTATAAACAATACGAGCTTGTAACAAAACACGTCACGCTTGACTGGTTCTGTGGGGCTAATCTTTACCATCTAGTGGTTCAACTGTTGTTGACACGCAAATTATAGGGACATGGCCCAAATACTAGGGACATGGCCCAAATACTAGGGACATGGCCCAAATACTAGGGACATGGCCCTGACATGGCCAAAATACAATGGACATGGCCCAAATATTGGGGACATGGCCCAAATACTGGGGACATGGCCCAAATACTGGGGACATGGCCCAAATACTTGGGACATGGCCCAAATACTGGGGACATGGCCCGGACATGGCCCAAACACTGGGGACATGGCCCGGACATGGCCCAAATACTGGGGACATGGCCCAAACACTGGGGACATGGCCCAAATATTGGGGACATGGCCCAAATACTGGGGACATGGCCCAAATACTGAGGACATGGCCCAAATACTACGGACATGGCCCAAATACTAGGGACATGGCCCAAATTCTGGAGACATGGCCCAAATATTGGGAACATGGCCCAAATACTGGGGACATGGCAAAAATACAATGGACATGGCCCAAATACGATGGACATGGCCCAAATACTGGGGACATGGCCCAAAGACTGTGGACATGGCCCAAATACTAGGGACATGGCCCAAAGACTGGGGACATGGCCCAAATATTGGAAACATGGCCCAAACACTATGGACATGGCCCAAATACTAGGGACATGGCCCAAATACTGGGGATATGGCCCAAATATTGGGAACATGGCCCAAATACTGGGGACATGGCAAAAATACAATGGACATGGCCCAAACACGATGGACATGGCTAAAATATTGTGGACATGGCCCAAAGACTGTGGACATGGCCCAAATACTAGGGACATGGCCCAAATACTGGGGACATGGCCCAAAGACTGTGGACATGGCCCAAATATTGTGGACATGGCCCAAAGACTGTGGACATGGCCCAAATACTAGGGACATGGCCCAAAGACTGGGGACATGGCCCAAAGACTTTGGACATGGCCCAAATACTAGGGACATGGCCCAAAGACTGGGGACATGGCCCAAAGACTTTGGACATGGCCAAAACACGATGGACATGGCCCAAACACAATGGACATGGCCCAAATACTGGGGCACATGGCCCGGACATGGCCCAAACACTGGGGACATGGCCCAAATACTGGGCACATGGCCCAAATACTGGGGACATGGCCCAAATACTAGGGACATGGCCCAAATACTAGGGACATGGCCCAAATATTGGGAACATGGCCCAAATACTGGGGACATGGCAAAAATACAATGGACATGGCCCAAACACGATGGACATGGCCCAAATATTGGGGACATGGCCCAAACACGATGGACATGGCCCAAACATGATGGACATGGCCCAAATATTGTGGACATGGCCCAAAGACTGGGGACATGGCCCAAAGACTGGGGACATGGCCCAAATATTGGAAACATGGCCCAAACACTATGGACATGGCCCAAATACTAGGGACATGGCCCAAATACTGGGGACATGGCCCAAATACTGGGGACATGGCCAAAACACGATGGACATCGCCCAAACATGATGGACATTACCCGAATACTGGGGACATGGCCCAAATACGATGGACATGGCCCAAACATGATGGACATGGCCCAAAGACTGGGGACATGGCCCAAATACTGGGGACATGGCCCAAACACAATGGACATGGCCCGAATACTGGGGACGTGGCCCAAATACAATGGACATGGCCCAAACATGATGGACATGGCCCAAATACTGGGGACATGGCCCAAATACTGGGGACATGGCCCAAATACGATGGACGTGGCCCAAACACTGGGGACATGGCCCAAATACTGGGGACATGGCCCGGACATGGCCCAAACACTGGGGACATGGCCCAAATACTGGCGACATGGCCCGGACATGGCCCAAACACTGAAGACATGGCCCAAACACTGAAGACACGGCCCAAATATTGGGGGCATGGTCCAAATATTGGGGGCATGGCCCAAATACTAGGTACATGGCCCAAATACGGGGGACATGGCCTATATACGAGGGACATGGCTCACGTCGTTTGAAAATCGGTCAATCATCTTAACACTTGGCATGACGCACCAGTGATCCACATTAAGCCGACTTACCTGTGACCCAAAAACTCGCTTAAAAATGACCCACATGTTACCTCCTTGCCTGTGACCCACCTAACGCTAACCCACCTAACAACGCCCCTTCCCTACCCCCAGGCTCGCAGGTTCAGAGAACTGTTCCGTGGCCGCTTCACCCAGGAGGACGCTGTGAGGATTGTCAGGGGCTTTGAGGATCTGAGGGACGCCGTCATTTTCTTCCTCACTGGTGACCCCATTCATACTTTCTAACACGCACCCTAAACATGAAAAACACAGTTTTTACTTTGTAACACACACTCTAAACATGAAAACACTACATTCTAACACACACTCTAAACATGAAAACACTACATTCTAACACACACCCTAAACATGAAAAACTTTAAAAAATGAGTTCATACTTTCTAACACACACCCTAAACATGAAAAACACAGTTTTTACTTTCTAACACATACCCTAAACATGAAAAACACTACTTTCTAACACACACTTTAAACATGAAAAACACTACTTTCTAACACATACCCTAAACATGAAAACACTACTTTCTAACACATACCCTAAACATGAAAATACTACTTTCTAACACATAAACTACCCTAAACATGAAAACACAACTTTCTAACACATAGGCTAAATATGTAAAACGCTACTTTCTAACACGTACCCTAAACATGAAAACACAACTTTCTAACACATAGGCTAAATATGTAAAACACTATTTTTACTTTCTAAAACATACCCTAAACATGAAAACACACTACTTTCTAACACATACCCTAAACATGAAAACACACTACTTTCTAACACATAGCCTAAACATGAAAAACACTACTTTCTAACACATACTACTAAACACGAGAAACACTTTAAAAATTGATTGGTTGATTGCGCTGAAGCTTTGGTAGGAACGAGAATATATAACCCACAGACATCTTAAAACCGAAAATGTTTTTTTCTAGCTTTAGTTTAAGACAATATCTATGATATTGATATTTTCGGGGGGGGGGGGGGGGGTAGATATTTTTTGGGAGTATATATTTTCTATATAATTTCCATTTCGTTCGAAGGGGGGGGGGGGGGAGGCGGAAGACTTTTTTTAGCCGCCCCCCCTTCCCCTCCCCTTGAAGAGATGCCTGGAAGAAACGCCCCAAGAGTGTATCGTCCTTCAACCTAGTTAGATGGTTTATTAGCTATTAAAAATAGTTTTAAAAAATGTAATAACTAAGGTCGAAAAAAGTAGAAAGTAGTGGTCACAGATCAGTCAAGTGAGCTGATATTTGCTATCGATTTTTTTTTTACATTTAGAGATGAGATTAGCGCTTATTTAAGGTGCAAAAGCGCGTTCAGTATATCTTTTAGGTAGAGAATACTAACACGAAAAATTATATCGCTAGCTTACTTGCCGAATTAAAAGAAAATATCGTTGTCTAAATATCGATCTTTTATATTTACATTATTTTAAACACATTAAAACATGTTTTATTCAAACATTTTAAACACGCGTTATTCAAACAAACATTTTTAATATATTTTATTCAAAGTTTAAATTTAAATACCTGTCTTATTCAAATAATTAATTTGAATATATTTATTTTAACAATTAATTTACACACGATTTATTCAAACAATTAATTTTAAAAAGGGTTTTATTTTAATTTCAGCTTCACCTGAACAAGTGAGAGAATTTCTTGGCCAGGTACAGCTTGTCATGTTCAGATATAGACTATTGTCATGTTTAGAGACTATTGTCATGTTCAGATATATTGTCATGTATAGATAGAGACTATTGTCATGTTTAGATAGAGACTATTGTCATGTATAGATATAGACTATTGTCATGTTTAGATAGAGACTATTGTCATGTATAGATATAGACTATTGTCATGTATAGATATAGACTATTGTCATGTTTAGATAGAGACTATTGTCATGTTTAGATAGAGACTATTATCATGTTTAGATAGAGACTATTGTCATGTTTAGATAGAGACTATTGTCATGTTTAGATAGAGACTATTGTCATGTATAGATAGAGACTATTGTCATGTATAGATAGAGACTATTGTCATGTATAGATAGAGACTATTGTCATGTTTAGATAGAGACTATTGTCATGTTTAGATAGAGACTATTGTCATGTTTAGATAGAGACTATTGTCATGTATAGATAGAGACTATTGTCATGTTTAGATAGAGACTATTGTCATGTATAGATAGAGACTATTGTCATGTATAGATAGAGACTATTGTCATGTATAGATAGAGACTATTGTCATGTTTAGATAGAGACTATTGTCATGTTTAGATAGAGACTATTGTCATGTATAGATAGAGACTATTGTCATGTATAGATAGAGACTATTGTCATGTTTAGATAGAGACTATTGTCATGTATAGATAGAGACTATTGTCATGTATAGATAGAGACTATTGTCATGTATAGATAGAGACTATTGTCATGTATAGATAGAGACTATTGTCATGTTTAGATAGAGACTATTGTCATGTTTAGAAAGAGTCTGTCGTCATATTTTGATAGAGACTATTGTCCTGTTTAGATAGAGACTATTGTCATGTTTAGATAGAGACTATTGTCATGTATAGATAGAGACTATTGTCATGTTTAGATAGAGACTATTGTCATGTATAGATAGAGACTATTGTCATGTATAGATAGAGACTATTGTCATGTATAGATAGAGACTATTGTCATGTTTAGATAGAGACTATTGTCATGTTTAGATAGAGACTATTGTCATGTATAGATAGAGACTATTGTCATGTATAGATAGAGACTATTGTCATGTTTAGATAGAGACTATTGTCATGTATAGATAGAGACTATTGTCATGTATAGATAGAGACTATTGTCATGTATAGATAGAGACTATTGTCATGTATAGATAGAGACTATTGTCATGTTTAGATAGAGACTATTGTCATGTTTAGAAAGAGTCTGTCGTCATATTTTGATAGAGACTATTGTCATGTTTAGATAGAGACTATTGTCATGTTTAGATAGAGACTATTGTCATGTATAGATAGAGACTATTGTCATGTATAGATAGAGACTATTGTCATGTATAGATAGAGACTATTGTCATGTTTAGATAGAGACTATTGTCATGTTTAGATAGAGACTATTGTCATGTTCAGATAGAGACTATTGTCATGTTTAGATAGAGACTATTGTCATGTTCAGATAGAGGCTATTGTCATGTTTAGATAGAGACTATTGTCATGTATAGATAGAGACTATTGTCATGTATAGATAGAGACTATTGTCATGTATAGATAGAGACTATTGTCATGTTTAGATAGAGACTATTGCCATGTATAGATAGAGACTATTGTCATGTTTAGATAGAGACTATTGTCATGTATAGATAGAGACTATTGTCATGTTTAGATAGAGACTATTGTCATGTATAGATAGAGACTATTGTCATGTATAGATAGAGACTATTGTCATGTTTAGATAGAGACTATTGTCATGTATAGATAGAGACTATTGTCATGTATAGATAGAGACTATTGTCATGTTTAGAGACTATTGTCATGTTTAGAGACTATTGTCATGTTTAGATAGAGACTATTGTCATGTTTAGATAGAGACTATTGTCATGTTTAGATAGAGACTATTGTAATGTTTAGATAGAGACTATTGTCATGTATAGATAGAGACTATTGTCATGTATAGATAGAGACTATTGTCATGTTTAGATATATTGTCATGTTTAGATAGAGACTATTGTCATGTATAGATAGAGACTATTGTCATGTATAGATAGAGACTATTGTCATGTATAGATAGAGACTATTGTCATGTTTAGATAGAGACTATTGTCATGTATAGATAGAGACTATTGTCATGTTTAGATAGAGACTAGTGTCATGTATAGATAGAGACTATTCTCATGTATAGATAGAGATTATTCTCATGTATAGATAGAGACTTTTATCGTGTTTAGATATATTGTCATGTATAGATAGAGACTATTGTCATGTATAGATAGAGACTATTGTCATGTATAGATAGAGACTATTGTCATGTTTAGATGGAGACTATTGTCATGTTTAGATAGGGACTATTGTCATGTATAGATAGAGACTATTGTCATGTATAGATAGAGACTATTGTCATGTTTAGATAGAGACTATTGTCATGTTTAGATAGAGACTATTGTCATGTTTAGATAGAGACTAGTGTCATGTTTAGATATATTGTCATGTATAGATAGAGACTATTGTCATGTATAGATAGAGACTATTGTCATGTATAGATAGAGACTATTGTAATGTTTAGATAGAGACTATTGTCATGTTTAGAGACTATTGTCATGTATAGATAGAGACTATTGTCATGTTTAGATAGAGACTATTGTAATGTTTAGATAGAGAGTATTGTCATGTATAGATAGAGACTATTGTCATGTTTAGATAGAGACTATTGTCATGTATAGAGACTATTGTCATGTTTAGATATAGACTATTGTCATGTTTAGATAGAGACTATTGTAATGTTTAGATAGAGACTATTGTCATGTATAGATAGAGACTATTGTAATGTTTAGATAGAGACTATTGTCATGTTTAGATAGAGACTATTGTCATGTTTAGATATATTGTCATGTTTAGATAGAGACTATTGTCATGTATAGATATAGACTATTGTCATGTATAGATAGAGACTATTGTCATGTTTAGATAGAGACTATTGTCATGTATAGATAGAGACTATTCTCATGTATAGATAGAGATTATTCTCATGTATAGATAGAGACTTTTATCGTGTTTAGATATATTGTCATGTATAGATAGAGACTATTGTCATGTATAGATAGAGACTATTGTCATGTTTAGATAGAGACTATTGTCATGTTTAGATAGAGACTAGTGTCATGTTTAGATATATTGTCATGTATAGATAGAGACTATTGTCATGTATAGATAGAGACTATTGTCATGTATAGATAGAGACTATTGTAATGTTTAGATAGAGACTATTGTCATGTATAGATAGAGACTATTGTAATGTTTAGATAGAGACTATTGTCATGTATAGATAGAGACTATTGTCATGTTTAGATAGAGACTATTGTCATGTTTAGATAGAGACTATTGTCATGTTTAGATAGAGACTATTGTCATGTTTAGATAGAGACTATTGTCATGTATAGATAGAGACTATTGTCATGTATAGATAGAGACTATTGTCATGTATAGATAGAGACTATTGTCATGTTTAGAGACTATTGTCATGTATAGATAGAGACTATTGTCATGTTTAGATAGAGACTATTGTCATGTTTAGATAGAGACTATTGTCATGTTTAGATAGAGACTATTGTCATGTTTAGATAGAGACTATTCTCATGTTTAGATAGAGACTAGTGTCATGTTTAGATATATTGTCATGTATAGATAGAGACTATTGTCATGTATAGATAGAGACTATTGTCATGTTTAGATAGAGACTATTGTCATGTTTAGATAGAGACTATTGTCATGTTTAGATATAGACTATTGTCATGTTTAGATAGAGACTATTGTCATGTTTAGAGACTATTGTCATGTATAGATAGAGACTATTGTCATGTTTAGATAGAGACTATTGTCATGTTTAGATATAGACTATTGTCATGTTTAGATAGAGACTATTGTCATGTTTAGAGACTATTGTCATGTATAGATAGAGACTATTGTCATGTTTAGATAGAGACTATTGTCATGTTTAGATAGAGACTATTGTCATGTTTAGATATAGACTATTGTCATGTTTAGATAGAGACTATTGTCATGTTTAGAGACTATTGTCATGTATAGATAGAGACTATTGTCATGTTTAGATAGAGACTATTGTCATGTTTAGATATAGACTATTGTCATGTTTAGATAGAGACTATTGTCATGTTTAGAGACTATTGTCATGTATAGATAGAGACTATTGTCATGTTTAGATAGAGACTATTGTCATGTTTAGATAGAGACTATTGTCATGTATAGATAGAGACTATTGTCATGTTTAGATAGAGACTATTGTCATGTTTAGAGACTATTGTCATGTTTAGATAGAGACTATTGTCATGTTTAGATAGAGACTATTGTCATGTATAGATAGAGACTATTGTCATGTTTAGATAGAGACTATTGTCATGTTTAGATAGAGACTATTGTCATGTATAGATAGAGACTATTGTCATGTTTAGATAGAGACTATTGTCATGTTTAGATAGAGACTATTGTCATGTTTAGATAGAGACTATTGTCATGTTTAGATAGAGACTATTGTCATGTATAGATAGAGACTATTGTCATGTTTAGATAGAGACTAGTGTCATGTATAGATAGAGACTATTGTCATGTATAGATAGAGACTATTGTCATGTTTAGATAGAGACTATTGTCATGTATAGATAGAGACTATTCTCATGTATAGATAGAGACTATTATCGTGTTTAGATATATTGTCATGTTTAGATAGAGACTATTGTCATGTTTAGATAGAGACTATTGTCATGTTTAGATAGAGACTATTGTCATGTTTAGATATATTGTCATGTTTAGATAGAGACTATTGTCATGTTTAGATAGAGACTATTGTCATGTATAGATAGAGACTATTCTCATGTATAGATAGAGACTATTGTCATGTTTAGATAGAGACTATTGTCATGTATAGATAGAGACTATTCTCATGTATAGATAGAGACTATTATCGTGTTTAGATATATTGTCCTGTTTAGATAGAGACTATTGTCATGTTTAGATAGAGACTATTGTCATGCATAGATAGAGACTATTGTCATGTATAGATAGAGACTATTGTCATGTATAGATAGAGCCTGACACCCTAAAACTCACCTTCGCAGTTACCTGGCTAGGGTTCATAAAACGGACCATACTTGACCATCTGGCTAGGGTTCATAAAACGGATCATACTTGACCGTGGTCGTGGGCGCCAGACTAGTTGGGGACAGTAATGAGATATCCCCCCCCCCCCCCCGAACGAAATAGAATTTATATAGAAAATATATACTTTTAACTGTGTCCGTCCCCCAACCTCCCGAAAATTTTAAGCCCCCCCCCCCCCCCCGGAGAAATAAGTCTTGCAGAAACACTGCCCCCCTCCTCTTGAAAAAAAATCCCTTTACGGAACCCTGCAGAAAATGAGTGTTAGAGATTGGAATACGACACTACATGTGTCACACACGTGTCACACTACACTCCAGATGTGTCGCACATAAGTGCAGGTGGCACACAGGTGTCACACTACACTCCAGGTGTGTCGCACATGAGTGCAGGTGGCAGAATACATTGCAGATGGCACACCGGTGTCAGACGACAGTGCAGATGTCAGTCGAGCTAAAAATAGACCTCTCTCTGCCAGGACCAAGACTACCAGGCCCACCTGATGGACGATGCCGACAGCGTCATGTCCATACTGGACTCCGACCTGCAGCAAGGCACCAGTGACCGGCTGTTTGCCTGCAGACACTGCGTCAGGAGTTGGTGGAAGAAGGTGCCAAACAGGAAGATGGTGAGTCACTGCTGACATAGACGGTCTGACGTAGGAAGATGGTGAGTCACTGCTGACGGTCTGACGTAGGAAGATGGTGAGTCACTGCTGACGGTCTGACGTAGGAAGATGGTGAGTCACTGCTGACGGTCTGACGTAGGAAGATGGTGAGTCACAGCTGACATAGACGGTCTGACGTAGGAAGATGGTGAGTCACTGCTGACATAGACGGTCTGACGTAGGAAGATGGTGAGTCACTGCTGACGGTATGACGTAGGAAGATGGTGAGTCACTGCTGACATAGACGGTCTGACGTAGGAAGATGGTGAGTCACATCTGACGTAGGAAGATGGTGAGTCACTGCTGACGGTCTGACGTAGGAAGATGGTGAGTCACTGCTGACGGTCTGACGTAGGAAGATGGTGAGTCACTGCTGACATAGACGGTCTGACGTAGGAAGATGGTGAGTCACTGCTGACGGTCTGACGTAGGAAGATGGTGAGTCACTGCTGACGGTCTGACGTAGGAAGATGGTGAGTCACTGCTGACGGTCTGACGTAGGAAGATGGTGAGTCACTGCTGACGGTCTGACGTAGGAAGATGGTGAGTCACTGCTGACGTAGGAAGATGGTGAGTCACTGCTGACGGTCTGACGTAGGAAGATGGTGAGTCACTGCTGACGGTCTGACGTAGGAAGATGGTGAGTCACAGCTGACATAGACGGTCTGACGTAGGAAGATGGTGAGTCACTGCTGACATAGACGGTCTGACGTAGGAAGATGGTGAGTCACTGCTGACGGTATGACGTAGGAAGATGGTGAGTCACTGCTGACATAGACGGTCTGACGTAGGAAGATGGTGAGTCACATCTGACGTAGGAAGATGGTGAGTCACTGCTGACGGTCTGACGTAGGAAGATGGTGAGTCACTACTGACATAGACGGTCTGTATAGATTGTGAGTCACTGCTGACGGTCTGACGTAGGAAGATGGTGAGTCGCTGCTGACATAGACGATCCGACGTCCTGATAAGACACGTTATGACGTATAAACAAGACACATTCAGACAAATTAGCAAGACACTATAAGACACATTAACAAGACACAATAAGACAAATTAACAAGACAAAATAATACAATTTAATAATACACATTAAGACGATCCAAACCAACATCACAACTTAAGCAGTAAAAGACGCGGCCTATCTCGAGTTCTAATCCGGGTTCAAGACAGTAGAACGTCCCTGAGTCCACCCAGCTCTAATGAGTTCCTAACTCACGTTAGAGAAAGTAAGGGTGGCTAGGCATAATGCTGACCATACTATCCTTTCGTATGCCGAGATCTCAAAAACAGGTGAACCATCCAGTTCAAAAAGGGAACTAAGAATTAAAGCACCATAAAGAAATAGGCCTAGTAATGTTCTAAACTCGCCAGTAATGTTCTAAACTCGCCAGTAATGTTCTAAACTCGCCAGTAATGTTCTAAACTCGCCAGTAATGTTCTTACTCGCCAATAATGTTCTAAACTCGCCAGTAATGTTCTAAACTCGCCAGTAATGTTCTTACTCGCCAATAATGTTCTAAACTCGCCAGTAATGTTCTAAACTCGCCAGTAATGTTCTTACTCGCCAGTAATGTTCTAAACTCGCCAGTAATGTTCTAAACTCGCCAGTAATGTTCTAAACTCGCCAGTAATGTTCTTACTCGCCAATAATGTTCTAAACTCGCCAGTAATGTTCTAAACTCGCCAGTAATGTTCTTACTCGCCAGTAATGTTCTAAACTCGCCAGTAATGTTCTTACTCGCCAGTAATGTTCTAAACTCGCCAGTAATGTTCTAAACTCGCCAGTAATGTTCTAAACTCGCCTGTAATGTTCTAAACTCGCCAGTAATGTTCTAAACTCGCCAGTAATGTTCTAAACTCGCCAGTAATGTTCTAAACTCGCCAGTAATGTTCTGACCTGTCATGCACCAGGTGTCCACATGCCGTGGGTGTGACAGGAAACTGGAGGCCATCCCCCGGGACAAGGAGTGGGGCTGGGGAAGGTTTGAGTGCCAGAATATTCACTGCCGGAATGTCTTTTAGTAAGTTCACACTGGTTTTTTTTGTCGTTCATATATATATATATATATATATATATATATATATATATATATATATATATATATATATATATATATATATATATATATATATATATATATATATATATAATGATAGAGAAAATTTAAACCCTCCCCCCCCCCCCGATGAGACGATCCTGGCTACGCCACTGCACGTGACTCCCGTGACTCAACTCAAGATGTGTGTCACTGTGTACAAGAAAAAAGACAATATTAATGAATACTTTACTTCCCTGTTTTCTACATCTGGCTAGATTTGTATCGCACAATCTCCGTGAACCATAAGACGCGGCTCTTCTTATGCAGCGCATCCAAACATTTGCAAAAAATAATGGATGATTGTTCATTCCTGATTGTATCACGCATTTACATTTATACATATATGTACAACATAAAATTACATACATGCATACAATGTATATATATATATATATATATATATATATATATATATATATATATATATATATATACAATCATTCCAACACAGCGGTGTGGGGGTGATGGGTATGACCAAGAGCCTGTGCCACAAGTGTAACCTCCCCGCCCCCATAGTCGAGGTCATCCCTCCTAAGCTGAGAGAGAAGACACGAGGGCCTGACAACCATGACTGTAATGGGGTCAACTGTTACAACGGCTACAACAGGAACAACCCGGTGCCTTACAGGAACAACAGACCCGATCCAGCGCTGAACGACATACGACGGTGAGACTTCACTCAGATTTAGCTAATGGTAATTTAGTTATAAGATTAAGTCCAGAGCCTTGTTACTTCCCTTGTAGAAAGTGTACAGCTTTTCTACTTCCCTAAGTTATAAGAGCCTTGTTACTTCCCTTAGAGAAAGTGTACAGCTTTTCTACTTCCCTTAGTTATTAGAGCCTTGTTACTTCCCTTAGAGAAAGTGTACAGCTTTTCTACTTCCCTTAGTTATTAGAGCCTTGTTACTTCCCTTAGAGAAAGTGTACAGCTTTTCTACTTCCCTTAGTTATTAGAGCCTTGTTACTTCCCTTAGAGAAAGTGTACAGTTTTTCTACTTCCCTTAGTTATTAGAGCCTTGTTATTTCCCTTAGAGAAAGTGTACAGTTTTTCTACTTCCCTTAGTTATAAGAGCCTTGTTACTACCCTTTGTTTTAACATTAAGTCCATAGTCTTGTTACTTCCCTTTGTTATCAGAGTATGTTGATTGTTTAGGGTTACTTTAATATTTTAAAACCCCTGGTTTAGTAAGTTTGTGACTTAGTTAAGCTCCATCTTATTATAACACTACCCTTGAATTTGGTAATTGCGTATGTAAAAAAAAAAATGTGACCGGTTGTTAGGGTAGGATTTTCTGGGAGAACTAGGGGTAGAGTATAGGTCTAGTGTGTGAAACTACAGAAAAGTTTTCAAAACTTTGGTGTTTGTTGTTTGGACTTTGTGAAAACAAAATGTTAACATAAGTCTACATCCATGCAACATCCCGATGCTAAGGTGTAGCTTCCGCTGCTTGTAACTTTCACCTCCACAACTTACATGTGTGTTTAAACCTCCAAAACTTACCTGGATTTTTTAACCAACAAAAATTATCAGAATTTGTGACTACAGATAATTAGATAACATTGTCAAATAATTCAACTTTTTTTTCTTCATCTTCTAGCCGCGTGGAAATAACCAATGTAAGTTTAAGTTCATGACTCATCTTGTCATTATTTATGAAAGTTTAACTTGATGACTTAACTTGTCATTAATAATAATCATTTTGGTTGTCAATATATTAAGTCACGCTTCTCTTTACCTGTTTTAACTTGCTCCAACTTCTACGTCACACAAGATCACTAAATGACTGACACCCCCCCCCCCATCCCCACCCCCACCATACCCCAAATACAAATTTCATTTAAAAAAAAAATTTCAAATATATTGGATTACGTCCCGTTAGTTTAAAAAATCATTGTTACCTTAGACCGCATATGTATTGAAAGAATAGAACTACAACAGCTTTGATTAACTGTTTGCTGGCTGCGTTGACTTTTACGAAAACATTCATCTTTTAGTGCTGAAAATTAAAGAAAATCTGATCAATACTTGGGATTTGTGTAATATTTATGACAGTTTTCATCAAATTATTAAAATTTGAAAAAACTGCAAAATTTAAATTTTTAAAAATTACTTTCTTAACTCTCAATTTCCACTTCCCTTATGCCATGCACTTGAACACCCCTTCCTAATGCCATACATTCGAACACACCTCCTCCCCCTTTCTTAATTCATACATTCGAACACACACCCCTTTCCTTCCGTTATATAAAGAGGTCTTACATCACTAAATCAACATTTTTAGACGAAGATGTTTGATTTAAACAACTTTTTTTTTCTTCAGAGTAACGGCCGTGGTCGAGAGGGTAGGTATGACCTGCATGACGTCATTGGGAACACGTAGATGACAGGCAGATAACTGGTAGATGACATGCGCAGAATTGGGTGACATGTAGGTGACATACAGATGACATGTTGAAGGTATTTCGATGACGTGCAGAAAAAAGTAGGCGGCTTTTAGCTGACATGGCGAATTCACATGGGTCATAGGACCACCTTAATCAGCGTACACTTTGTTTAATTTATGGTTGACTAATTTTCTGTTTTAGTTTGCTCATTTGTAGTGTTTTGTGTGTTGTGCGTTGTGTCGTATACTGTGTTGTGATTGTGTCGTAAACTGTGTCATGCATTGTGTCATACACTGTGTTGTGTACTGTGTCACTCACTGTGTTGTGTACTGTGTCACTCACTGTGTCGTGTACTGTGTCACTCAGTGTGTCGTGTACTGTGTCACTCAGTGTGTCGTGTACTGTGTCACTCACTGAGTCGTGTACTGTGTCACTAAGTGTGTCGTGTACTGTGTCACTCACTGTGTCGTGTACTGTGTTACTCAGTGTGTCGAGTACTGGTTCACTCACTGTGTTATGTACTGTTTCACTCAGTGTATTGTGTACTGTGTCACTCACTGTGTCGTGTACTGTGTCACTCACTGTGTCGTGTACTGTGTCACTCACTGTGTTATGTACTGTTTCACTCAGTGTGTTGTGTACTGTTTCACTCAGTGTGTCGTGTACTGTGTCACTAAGTGTGTCGTGTACTGTGTCACTAAGTGTGTCGTGTACTGTGTCACTCAGTGTGTCGTGTACTGTGTCACTAAGTGTGTCGTGTACTGTGTCGTGAATTGTGTGCATGCCCCGTGTCTCACACTGTGACCGAGCTCGCTGACGTCACCCTTGACCAGGTAAATGACCCTAGCTGCACCTGTGACCTGGTTCTTTGATCTCCCAGGCAAGCCAGCCGTGTGCATCCACAAAAGGTCTGATCGTCCTGACGCTTCCAGAGTCCGCACGTGGAGTCAGGTGCACATCAGCTCAGGGTCAACAGTCACCACGTGCATTGACCAGGGCAGCTTGAACACAGGGACGGGATCGTTTGCCTACACCATGGAGACCATTGACTAGACCATGGAGACCATTGACTAGACCATGGAGACCATTGACTAGACCATGGAGACCATTGAATAGACCATGGAGACCATTGACTAGTGGAGACCATTGACTAGACCATGGAGACCATTGACTAGACCATGGAGACCATTGACTAGACCATGGAGACCATTGACTAGACCATGGAAACCATTGACTAGACCATGGAGACCATTGAATAGACCATGGAGACCATTGACTAGACCATGGAGACCATTGACTAGACCATTGACTAGACCATGGAGACCATTGACTAGACCATGGAGACCATTGACTAGACCATGGAGACCATTGACTAGACCATTGACTAGACCATGGAGACCATTGACTAGACCATTGACTAGACCATGGAGACCATTGACTAGACCATGGAGACCATTGACTAGACCATGGACTAGACCATGGAGACCATTGACTAGACCATGGAGACCATTGACTAGACCATGGAGACCATTGACTAGATTATGGAGACCATTGACTAGACCATGGACTAGACCATGGAGACCATTGACTAGACCATTGACTTGACCATTGACTAGACCATGGAGACCATTGACTAGACCATTGTCTAGACCATTGACTAGACCATTGACTAGACCATTGACTAGACCATTGACTAGACCATTGACTAGACCATTGACTAGACCATTGACTAGACCATGGAGACCATTGACTAGACCATTGACTAGACCATTGACTAGTAGACCATGGAGACCATTGACTAGACCATGGAGACCATTGATTCGACCGTCGATTAGATCATCGGCTATCGATCAGACAATCAACTCGACCATCGGTCATCGATTAGACCATTTCTTCATCCCGTGTTACATGCATGACGTCAACATGTGTATACGATTGCCTTTAGACTTTTTAAACGACAATACATTTCTGGAGTTCTAGTTTTTTTTTTTTTCTCAGTGGAGTGGTGTTGGCTGGGGTGGTGTTGGCTGGGGTGGTGTTGGCTGGGGTGGTGTTGGCTTGGGTGGTGTTTAATAAGGGGCCAGTCCAGGGGTGTTTGGGGTTGATCAGTGCTCCATAAAAGTTACTTGTTAAAAGAAATGAGTTGTCGCAATGTTTATCATTCTCATTTTATTTGTGTAGTCAAGGTGTGAAAATTGATTACAATTTTATTTTTTATGTGAAGGTGTGAAAATTTATTACAATTTTATTTTTAATGTGAAGGTGTGAAAATTGATTAAAATAATGACAATGTCAATCTAAGGCGTTACCTGTTATACTTGCATCTCACCCTCTGCCTGCTTACCTGACTGCTTACCTGCGTGTTTACCTGTCTGTTTACCTGCGTGTTGCCTATGCACCTGCCTGTTAAATGCATATCACCTTTGGCCTCTATAGCCTGTATTGCTGGTGATCACCTGCCCAAGACCTAGATGAAGGCTGAAATTGGACAATATTTGTTTCCCTGTAAAAGAAAGGCAATATATCAGAGCAAAACTCGCCAAACATGACACCTATAATGCTGAATATATATATATGGTCTGGTTCAGGATCAAATACCAGCTGGTCAGAATGGAAAAAAACCTAGTGTAACACAAAACAGTTTTTTTTAAAGTTGGAGACCGTCAAGCATACGCAACTCTGTAACATTAGAGGAATGTTTTTATTTGAGTAATTTCCCTTGCATTAAGTCCTGATTTAGTGGGATTTAGAAAGTAACTTCGGGTAGTTATCAGCTTTTGGTCCTTGTCAACACAAATTGTCTTATCTCAACGATACTTGAATCTTGTCGAAACTAAACTCTCAACTTATTTTGGATGTTTTCATAGGATCAGACTCCTCGCGTCCAAAAAGAGAATCTGTGACCTAGATAAACCTCTAGCAGTGACCTTGAACTTTCACATTATCGTGGAATGCCTATCAGCGGCCATCTTTATTTCCAATTAAGTTCTTAATCTAGGATCTGTTGAGTTTACAAACACACTGGAATGGCTAAGCTACGTACCAGATACACACCAAAAGCTGTGTCTAACACACCAACACACGATGCACATAGCCAACAACACAGATTGCACCATGTATACGACTTCGGCTACATTGAAAGTCTATTAAACTCTATTTCCTTCCATAAGATCACGTGGCTATTTATCTTCTACGAGTATGCAGTTGATACCTAATACGAATGCTGCCAACAATATGTTAGTAAAATATTTCAGTGAGTCACGGCCCATAACTCCTCCCTTCCCCACGGCCCATAACTCCTCCATTCCCCACGGCCCATAACTCCTCCATTCCCCACGACCCGTATCGACCACTCGTCAGTTGTGCAGCCAACGTTCCCTCCCTTTCTCCCTCTACGGACTACACACCAAGTACTACAACACTTACACACGCCTGCATTGCTAGTTTAAGTTGTGTTACAATAACGAGAAATAATTAAGGTTAATACATTCTGACGGGGTCACGCTAGGTCACCGTGACCCGCACTGAAACAAAGATGGCGGCTGTTTGTTGTGATCTTGCAGTGGAAGGTCATTCTTTTTTTAAATGCACGTATTTACTTTTGTAACGAAGGCGGTGGTTGGTTGAATTTCGAGTTAATGGGCCACTACTCTTGCAATCTCAAGTCAAGTGGGGGGTACTGGGTTGCGGGCCCTGGGTCTCTAATAAAAACTTTGAGGAACATAAATAGGACAACCATAAAAGTTGGTTCAAAGTTTTTCATCCAGTAAACAACCGACCTTACCCCCCCCCCCCCCTCCCTCCCCAAGCCGTAATAACATGTGTTGATAACTTGAAGCCCACTCTACACAGTGGCAAATTAAGGACGGGATTTGGGGGTAGGGCGGGTCGCTCTACATCCAGTTTAAACTAAACATAAATAGCCTTTTCCTTATACATATATAGGCCTATGAATATATATATATATATATATATATATATATATATATATATATATATATATATATATATATATATAGGTCTATATATGTATATATGTGTGCGTGTGTTACACCTATGTACAAGTGCCACATCCAGTCCATACTATGTGGGGAGACCTCTGTACGTTTCACCCCCTTACCCCATATAGATCTAGTATGTGCCGTGTACATACAATTCATACAGTGACCTGACCTTACACTGCAACAAACATGCACGCCTTTTTAAACATGCAATAATGTAAGTATTTAAATATGGACATAACTGCACTTACATACATGTAAGCCTACCTAGGAAACTAATGACTACATCTTACATGTAAGCCTCTAATGGCTACATCTTACATACATGTAAACCTACTTACTTTATGAAGACTGCATCTTACATACATGTAAGCCTACTGACTATATGAAGACTGCATCTTACATACATGTAAGCCTACTTACTATATGAAGACTGCATCTTACATACATGTAAGCCTACTTACTATATGAAGACTGCATCTTACATACATGTAAGCCTACTTACTTTATGAAGACTGCATCTTACATACATGTAAGCCTACTGACTATATGAAGACTGCATTTTACATACATGTAAGCCTACTTACTATATGAAGACTGCATCTTACATACATGTAAGCCTACTTACTATATGAAGACTGCATCTTACATACATGTAAGCCTACTTACTATATGAAGACTGCATCTTACATACATGTAAGCCTACTTACTATATGAAGACTGCATCTTACATACATGTAAGCCTACTTACTATATGAAGACTGCATCTTACATACATGTAAGCCTACTTACTATATGAAGACTGCATCTTACATACATGTAAGCCTACTTACTATATGAAGACTGCATCTTACATACATGTAAGCCTACTTACTATATGAAGACTGCATCTTACATACATGTAAGCCTACTTACTATATGAAGACTGCATCTTACATACATGTAAGCCTACTTACTATATGAAGACTGCATCTTACATACATGTAAGCCTACTTACTATATGAAGACTGCATCTTACATACATGTAAGCCTACTTACTATATGAAGACTGCATCTTACATACATGTAAGCCTACTTACTAACTAATGGCAGAATCTAACAAACTAATAAATTGTTATATCTGTACGATTTATGACCCAAAGACACAGCGCGTCAGACGGTATTACAGATCGTTTACGTCACGTGACTCATACCACTCAGTCAAGTCTCGACAATAGTTTTAGAGAGAGCAGGACCCCTGTTCTCTATGGGGGGGGGGGGGAGGGGAGGAGTATGTACACCTAGAACCAGTGGCGTAACCAGGGTCGTCTCAAGGGGGGGGGTGATTCCAATTTTTGCCCGGGGACAAACTTCCGATTTGCACCCCCCCCCTCAGACTTTCCATTTGCACCCCCCCCCCCTCATACTTTATATATATACCGAGGGGTCCCTAACCCCCCCTAACCCCCCTGCCTACGCCACTGCCTAGAACACACAGCAACACATACAACAACATATGTATTCCTGTGTTTAGTTTTTTAGCTTGAAACGCCTAACGTGGGTGCTACATGTTACTACGCTGTAATTGACAGTGAATATGGTAAAGGGATCTAAAACTGTTCATCAAACTGTAGCAGTTATCCCACTAGTCAAGTACACGTGTCCTGTCGTACTTCATAGTGTGGTTGTAGTTGTACACGTTATAAATTACCACCAGCTGGTGGCTGGGTAAGCTTTGTCTATAAATTGGTGACATCAATCATTCGTGTCCCACTCTTCTACAGTAATCACGACTAATTATATGTGGGGAGGGGGTAGGATATTTATAACATGGATGGCAGTTAATATCCGTGAGGGCATCTCCTAACACTGTTGGGTAAAGTTGGGTACTACTTCATGGCTTATTGTGTTCTACGTCATAGGTTATTGTGTATTACGTGATGGGTTATTGTGTACTACGTCATGGCTTGCTCTGTAGACGTAGAAAGTGTGAGAGCGGGCAAGCACAAGATGTGTCATTTCTGCCACATCAATGTCCACACAAGGGCCACTTTAACACCCCCCCCCCCCCCCACACACACACACTGATTGTGACTGATACAGGCCACTTTAACCCCCTCTCCTCCTTCCCCTCACCGCATTACAATGTAGGCCTAGAATCCATATATGAAGCACATGAGCATTAAGGAAAGGAAATACGACTTATGCTGCATGTATAATATCTATTACATCTGTTAGTGACATCCAGCATGTATGACTGACATCCGCCTCTTATGGTTTACATATACCATCTATGACTGACATTCAACATGTATGATTGCCACCCTTTTAACAACCAGTATGTAAGACTGACATCCAGTATGTATGACTGACATCCAGCATGTACGACAGCCACCACCTGATGATGTGTGAGTGTGTGTGTGTGCGTGCGTGTGTGTGTGTGTGTGTGTGTGCGTGTGTGTGTGTGTGTGACACCCATGTGTTGCCCAACTGGCACGTGTAAACACATCATGTAAACAAAGTAGGTCACGTGATCCAAAATAAAGTCGGTTAATAGGGCGGGTGGGGAGGGGTGGTAGAGCATGGGGAATGTGGGACGGTTGATGTGGGGCGGGAGGGGGGGTGATGTGAGGAGGGCCAATAGGATGATTGAACATATCGAGTAGAAAAAAAGTATTGGTGAGGAAACGAGAATATTCTCGATTTTGTTTGTGTCAATTTGATCGAGTTGGGGGAGGGTCTGGCATTGTTTGGTACTTTTATTCTAGGTGAGTAGAGTATGCTGCAGAAGGCCGATCTAACGGAATTGTGTGGTGTGTGGATTAGCCTGAGTAGGGCTCATGTGCATCCCATCAAGCAAGTACTCACACTCAAAACAGAGGTGTGGAGGTTAGACGTGGGGATATGGGGTGTGGCGGGAATTAGGTGTAGGGGATAGGTTTGTGAGGGGAGGTGGGGAGTGTGAGGTATTATGATGGTGAGGTGCTGTGGTGTGAGGTGGTGTGACGGTGAAGTGGTGGGGTGGTGAGGTGGTGAGGTGTTGGGCGTGTCTTATTTAGACATTGCACAGTCTAAATTATTATTTATCAATCTAGTTGGAGAAAACTGTCTTTTCTTTGACATAACATTTGTCGTCTTTAATACTCTTTATGACTCACAAATACAACACCTTCACCCAAAACACACACACGCTCCTATCACAACCCCCCCCCCCTTCTCACCTCCACCCAATATGATTTCAATCTACACTAAATGGTGCACACAAGTTTAATAGAAAGTGTGTAGGCTGGACAGGGTTTGTTTTGTTGATCCAGTT